ACTTGCAGGTTGAATTGAATATTATACTCTCTAAGATATTCTCCAAAACACTTCCACTCTTCTTTTAACTTTGTCTCATCTTATCCTGTAAGCCTTTTACTTCCTTTTGCACTGTGTTTGCTCCAATTTGGTGGTAAAACACAAGTTTTCCCAGGACAAAAAACACCATCACTTGGACACAGAGCTTTAAAGCCCAGACCTGCACCTAGAAACATGGCACAAAAGGAAATCTGGATGAGCCCTAGGACACACACATGAGAATAAATATGGTAAAATAAATGCCCTAAATTATTTACAGTATAAACTGAACTGAAAACTATATTGTCCTTCTCTTCCACTATATTGTATTTCTTACTACATTTTTAAAATGTATTTGTTCATATCTTCCAGGCAATCTTTCGAATGAACAATTTTGTCATTTAATGGAAGAGACTTGAAGGCTTAGCATAATTAATGTGGCCACTTTCTTTGTTCCTCCCTGTGCTGTTCCCATCTGCAGCACTTATTTTTCTTCCTCTTTCAGTCTGGAGACACATGAGTCCTGTAGCACAGCATTAATACTCGACAAGGTCTGTTTTATTGGTTTACATGCCCTCTTTGGCCGCTTGAGACATTTATTAGCCTTTAGCTAATGTATATGGGACTTTCTGTCTTTTGAACATTAATTAAGAAAGCATTCCCAACTGGACATTGATGTTGTTATGAAGCAGGCTATGCTATGCTGTGTTTAAGAATATGTTGCACAACTGCATGGTTTAAATAGAGTCCCTTAAGACTGACAAAAGCTTTTTAAACATTTATAAAGCGATGACACCGTGGCTTTCTGACTTTTTGTAAAGCAAACACTACTCAGAGTTGGTATAATGATATTGTCAATGCTTGTTCCATCTTACAAATAGTCAGCTGATGATCTCATGGCCAAGCCAAGTTAGATTCAATTATGCTAAGAATTTAGCACACTTATAAAGTTGTTATCTATGTTGTCCTAGGGTTGTGTCTTAAATTTGAACCAAGCTGAGAGAATTTGTTTCCTCACTTCAATTTCTTTTTTAAAAAACAATTTATTACTGTATTGCTGCAGATGCTGATATTAGTGACATAAATGTACACTACAGCCAAACTTTTCCAGATGACACAAGAAAGGAGTTTGTCCTTTTACCTTGCCATGCTGAATAATGCCTGCAGTAAGCTATGCTTTGATATAATGGGTTAGGTGTCTCATATCTGTAGAATTCCACTCTCGTTTCAGTAGGTCTTATTAAAAGCTAAAGCCTATGATTAGTAAGGAGTTTTATCCTACACTATATTGTGACATAAGGCGAGACACCTTTTCCTTTCACTTGCTCTACACTTCTGCGGTTACTGCTCCCCTTCCCACAACCACTTTCTCAACTCCCATAGTCCATCAAGAAAAATCCCTTTGGAATTTCCTTTATACCTCTGTTCACATGTATCTGTACCTTTCTTACAGAGAAAGACCATTTATCTTATGTCTTAATATAGCCTTCTACAACTTGACCATTTATCTTATGTCTTAATATAGCCTTCTACAACTTGAACTTCAACTCTCCTCATCCCTGCCCATTGGCAACACTGGCTAGGGTTGATGGAATTTGGAGTCCAATGACGTGGGGGTGGGCAGGCACCAAGCTGTGGGGTCAGACTGCTTTAATATACAGTTCCCATGCTCACATAGGCCCAACTCTTAAGTGTGATGTTAACTTTTTGACACTTAATGTAGTGTAAACCACCCTGAAGGGCAGTATAGAAATTTAATAATTAATAATAATGCCCACCCCTCCCTAATCTCAACAGAATGAAAGAAGGCAGCATACAGTTCAAACAATATTTTGTTTCAGCTTATTTATTTAAACTATTTCTTAATCATCCTTCATCAAAAGATTCCAGGGTATTGTACATAATCCATACAACATATAAAATATAATTTAAAACAAGCTAAACACATAACCATAACAAAATAAATGAAAAACAAAGCTAAAAACAACAACAACAACAACAATTTATTTATACCCCTCCCACCTGGGCGGCTTCCAACAAAATATTAAAAATACATTAAAACATCAGTCATTGAAAACTTCCCTAAACAGAGCTGGCACAACTGGTACCTTAAGTGGTTTACCATGCATGATATAAGAATATCTAGTGATCTTGTCAAGTTTCTAGCTAAGTACTTATCAATCAAGACACTAAATCCAGGGGTCAGTGTATAATGAGAATAGTGCTATCCTGGACTATAAGAGTCTCTCCTACCCCCTCAAAAATTATTAAGGGCAGAGGTCTATACTCTTGATCAGTCTTCACCCACCTAGTGCCCTCCAGATGCTTGGGACTACAGCTCCCATCACCATGGCCCTGCTGGCTCGAAGTTGTGGTCAAACTCTGGAGGGTACCAGGTTGGTAAACGTTCATCTAGATCTTCTGACGAGGGGCTATAGGAGTCAGTAGAAACTCTGCTACACCAGCAGAACATAAGCTACGCATAACACCTCAGATAACACCAGCAGAGCAAACTGCTGGCAGAGCTGTTCCATTATTTATTTTAAGTATTTATATACCACTGTTAATCAGAAAATACAGCTGCTCTTTGGAGGGGTGTATATGAAATAACCAACACAGCTGGCTAGATTTTAGGACTCTACTTGGATGTAGTTCAGAATTTACTGCCACACTACTGGATTGCATCTCCTTTTTTCACCTTCCCTGACCTTTCCTCCATTCCTTAAATATGGTAAAAAAACCCATGGTTCTAATATCTTATGGCACTAGAAATTTGTGGCATCCATCACTGCACATGTGGCAGGAGGAATCAAGTACACTATATAGCATTTTTTTGAATCATGGGATCAAAATTCTTATTGATGTGTTAAATTGTAAGGTTCTGGAATAATTTTGTTGGTTACCAGTTTACATATGGAAATAAATGAGAGTAACAACAAATTATATTTTGAAATTGTGTTCTGTGTAATGGTAATCTATGACTTAAGGCAATCAGTCCTAAGTCTGCTTTCTGACCTCTAGAATTACTAGCAAAGCTATTTGACCTAAATACAATCTTCCAAAGCAGAGTATGCAAGATATTGTTTTTCAGGAAGCGGTAAGCAATGACAAAGAATTTCCCCAAGGCTTTATTTTATTCCAAAATGAATTTGGGTATAATGCATTACAATTCTGTCTGAGAAAACGCTTAGCTCCACAGTTACATAGAGTATGCATTTACGTATGGTATCAAATGGTAAAATGATAGGGAGACATATGATGCCTCTCTGTTATTTTATGTTGCACCCTGGTACTTTTAAACAATGGAGGCCTCCTGCACTATCATCTTGAAGGAGGTATCATCCCATTTGGGGCAGATTGCAGAACAGTTTCCTACCACCCTAAAGTTCTGTAATATGAATGAACTAATTATAAAATTATAAATATAGATTCTGCCCCCCCCTTTAAAAATATTTCAATGTTGGTATATTGTAATGTGCTGGAATATAACTTTTTAAAAAAGTATGCCAAATTAGCAAAATGTGGTGTAGGCTTCAGGTATGGCAGAGATGCTCTTCTGCTGCCAGTGAATAAGGTCACATAGAAACCCTGGTCTCCCAGGCAGCCTGGTAAACCTGCTCCAGGCCTTGGAGGTCTAAGATGGCTGGGGGACCCCCATAGACCAGCTCCTTTTCCATTTCAGTTTATAACTAAACTCCCTTCCTGGGATCTCAGAAAATCTCTGCACAGGCCTGCTCCCAGGTATGGCACTCTAACCACTACACAACCCAGGGATTTGACTCATGTTCCTTTTCTACTTTAAAAAGCCCTCTATGCACATTTATGTATAAATGTGTTGTGCATATTGGCATTTTAAAAATCACATTATTTTTGAAACATAGCTGTTCTGTTCAGAAGCCCCCTTTGCTCCCCAAATTTGTATCTTGCAACACAGGGCTGGTAGACCATGTTGTTGTTGTTGTTTAGTTGTGTCCGACTCTTCGTGACCCCATGGACCAGAGCACGCCAGGCACTCCTGTCTTCCACTGCCTCCCACAGTTTGGTCAGACTCATGCTGGTAGCTTCGAGAACACTATCCAACCATCTCATCCTCTGTCGTCCCCTTCTCCTTGTGCCCTCCATCTTTCCCAACATCAGGTTCTTTTCCAGGGAGTCTTCTCTTCTCATGAGGTGGCCAAGGTATTGGAGCCTCAGCTTCAGGATCTGTCCTTCCAGTGAGCACTCATGGTGGACCATGTTAGGACACAGAAATTTCCTTCCACAAAAATTATGGAAGAACGTGGGGCGGTTATCTTTTCAACCCCTTTCTGTGTGTGTGTCTACTGACATTGGACACTGATGCTGGGTTTTTTAATGAGCTTGAGCCCAAGGTTTTTTCTTTTGGGTTTTCCCAGCTTACTTTGGATATCCTGCATAAACAACTACATATTGCACTTTTTACTAAAGACCCCACCAAAAACATTTTATTTTTCAGTATATTTCCCAGTTTAGTGGCTTCTGCAGCCTTAATCCTGAGTGGCTCATAGCAATAAACATTATCTCCCTTTTTGTTACAGGAAAACAAATGGCTTTTACCAGCGCGTGTTTCGGTACTTTAATATTCCAAAAAAGAGGAAACCCCAGCCTGTAAGAGAACATCGACAGCCATCTGTCAAGCCCCCATGACGCAGCCACCAACCACCACCTCTCTGCAAGCTACCATTAGGGAAATCCTTAAAAGACCCTTTCCGACAAAGGCCGGGCTAAACTACAATTCCCAGAATTCTCTTCAGACCAGCGCAGTACGAACAAACTCGCTGGATTCGCCTCATAAGCAAACGTGAGCACAGCGGCGTTTCTAAGAGACGGCCGCCCGCCGGGACGACTGATGGGGCCGCTATCCAATCTGCTCAACGGGCTCCTCGCGAACGACCCAATAGCGTTTCAAGGCGTCGGAAGGGTGGGCGGGCACCCTTGAGGGAATAGCTGGCTCACTGGCCCTTGGATGGAGGGCAAGGGAAAAGGAGGGGGCTTGTTGCGAAGGTAGAGCGAGCGAGGAGCGAGGGGGACGGGCCAGTCGCGTCCTGCGGGGACTGCAGCTGAGGCGGCGGAGAGTTGGCGACGAAGCGGTTAACCCTGCAGCGACAGAGACAACGGCCGTTCGGCGACTGCCGCTGATCCGCTGACTGGATTGCCTGTCGCCTCCGTTAGCTGCCCCGCCCGCCGGTCCCTGCGCCTAGTCCGGTCCGGCCCCGCAGTCACCATAGAGACAGCGGCGGCGGAGGCGACGACGGCGCCGCTTGCTCGAAAGCCATGGGCAGGAGCCTGCTGCTGGGCTGCGCCGGGCTGAACCGGAGGGCGCCGCGGGACAACCGGTAATATCGCCTCCCCCCCGCCACCACCACCTCAGCCGCGTTTCCTTCTCTCCTCGGAGGCCCTCGAGAGGAAGAGTGAACCCCGCGCCGGCCTCGCTCTGAGGGGGAAGGCGCGCCGGCCGCCGCGTTCCAGGTAGGCGCTTCCCCTCAGGGGCTGGCGAGCGGGGCATGGGGTGGGGGAGCGCGGTCGCCACCCGGCCTCTGGCCTCCCCCAGCCAGCGAGAGGCCGCTTCGGCGGGGTGTGCGCAAGTGCCGCCGGCCCGCCTGGGGGGGCGGGGGGGCGGGAGGGATGCTGCTTCGGAGGCGCCGGGGGGGGGGTTGGCGGGCCTCGCGGGATGCGCCTCTGGTAGAGCTTAATAGCGGAGGGAGCAGCGCCGGGTTTCTGGGATCGGAGGAGGAGGCTCCACGGAGGGTAACCTTCAGAGCATCACCCGTAATTTCGTCCCGCCGGTTATCTATCCCGGTTTTCCGTGCAGGGGCAGGAGGGGGGCGGGGATGCTGCATTATTAGGGGGGGCGGAATCATCTCCCAGCCTCGGATGGGAGAAGATCTGGCAGCGCTTGGCCACTTCTGGTGTGTCTTCTCCTAAGGCCCACTCTGTTCGCTTTGCAGGGTTGGGGAGCGGGATAGCTGCTCGTTGTGGGTGCTTGGTAACTGGGCAGCAGCGGTGAGGCGCATCGCAGAAGTTTCCTGCCTGGTACCGATGAAATGGCAAGTGATGCTCTCGCGGTTTGAGAGCGGTTCTGCTGCAAAAATATAGGCTCTGCGGGGTGGTGGGGAAAGAGCTCTTTTGCTTATTTGGCTAAGGTCTGGCTTTCCCTGCCTTTCTTTCATTTATTGGTGAGGAGAATGCTCCCCGAGGGGAAAACTAGGCTGCTTGACTTGTAAATCTGCTAATGTTGATGCTTCTGTGTTTCCTTTAGTCATACAAATATGCTCTGGCATACAGGCAGATGGAGGCTGAGGCTAAACATTGCCGCTGCTATCAGCAGTTGCATGAAGATATGAATACAGATACATAGACTTTCTTTTAAAAGAGAGAGGTATGGTCCTCTGCCAGAGATCTTTAAAGAGACCAACTGCCAGCAATGGGTGTAGGAAAAATCTGCTAGAGAGGGTTGGCAATGTTGTGTCTTTCTGCCATGGAACAACAAGAGGGATGGTTAAATGATACTTAACCTTAAGTATAGCACCAAGTATTGGTGGGTTTCAAAATGATGTTAAACTATAGATGCTTTGAGATTAGCATTTTCTTTAACAGTAAGATATATCGCAAATATATCCTACCATACAAGTTATTTAAGACTAATACATGTAGATGACTTCAGATTTTAAAAAATAATCAAGCAGTTTATAAATTTCCTGAAATAAATAAATTTGCTCTGATGTTGGTTAATCAGGAAATAGCTATTTTAGGCTATAGCAGGTAATGTTTTAAATTTGCTTCTAAGATTGGGACATACCAAATGGTTTTTAAGCCAGCAATTGTTATTCTTATAAAGATTATATATATTTCACATTTTTTGCTTAGTGTGGTCTTGACCTTTTGTGTTTATTGCTGTTGTTTGTTCAGAAATAAGCCCCACTGAGATAAACTGCATATACTCCCAGGTAACTGTGCATAGGGTTGCAGCCCAAGGTGTGTAAAATGAGATAAAGTAATTTTTTTCTGATGTATTTAAACCAGTCATTGAAAATGCATTTGCAGAGAAGTATCAAATGAACCACAACAATGAAAGTGAATATTTTAAAGGACCCGTAACTTTCAAAAACCTTTGCAGTATATTTTATATAGTGTGTCATCTAGAATACTTTTTTTTGCCCGACCACAATGTTGAAAACTTTCATGGTGAAAGCAGTGAAGTAAAGAATATGACAGAATAGCACTTACCCAGAGAAAGAGAGTCTGATATTAGTGCAGAATATCCTGCACTATATCAAACGTTCTTGGCACTGATAATCAATATTTAAATTATAAGTGAGATGTGCCAAGGCTTGAGTTTACATAAATTTCTGTGAGTAGCTGTTTCAAAATATTTTCAGCGGGATTCTTTCTTTAAATGTTTGGAACTGATCCCTGGTCTCTGATCAAGTCTTGTGAATAGTAATCTTGCCTTCCTTTGGTTGTGTGCTCATATGGGAAGTAGAAGAAACTTATGCAGATTTGTCCCAAGACAAAAGAGAAAAATTATCATAATAATGAAAGACAGTATTTGGCATTACTTGTTCTCTTGGGGTTCAAAAAAGCAAGGGAGCTTTGAAGTCCTTTAGACTGAAGAAAGCATGTGGAAAACAAGGGATGGGATGCTTTACTTGTCTGGGCTTTAAGGTTTTGTGGGGGGCAGGTCCTGGAAGGGATTATTGCAGAATCTGAATGGGTGGGATGTACTGTGTGTGTCTTCTAACACGTCCATTCAAGAAAAAATGATGCACAAAATGGGGTTGGTGTGAAGGTTAAAGGGACCCCTGACACATTAGGTCCAGTCACAGACGACTCTGGGGTTGCCGGCGTACAACTTCCGGGTCATGTGGCCAGCATGACTAAGCCGCTTCTGGTGAAACAGAGCAGCGCACGGAAACGCCGTTTACCTTCCCGCCGGAGTGGTACCTATTTATCTACTTGCACTGGCGTGCTTTCAAACTGCTAGGTTGGCAGGAGCTGGGACCGAACAACAGGAGCTCACCCCGTCGCAGGGATTCAAACCGACGACCTTCTGATCGGCAAGCCCTAGGCTCTGTGGTTTAACCCACTGCGCCACCCGCTGTAAAGGTTAGGATGCAGCTTATACCTCCTTGACACTGTCTTCTTAGGGAAAACATCTCCATACTTTTAAGAACTGAGTTTGGAGTAAACAAGTTGCACATTGCATCCTAATTTAGTAAGAAAAGCGTAAAACACTTCCTAGGCTGGTAAAATACAAGGAATATATTTTTGGAACTTAATAGACTTTTTTATCGGATAAAAGCTTGGTTAAATACAAACAGATTATAACTTGTTCAGAATTCCAGTTCACCAGTTTGTCTGTGACTGTATCTCTCAGCTGACGAAAATTTTAATCTGACTGATGTGATCTGTTCTAAGTGTAAGGTTCACATGACCTTACTAAAAACACAGCCCTAGAGTTTTATTTTAGGAGTGGTGGCGGTGGCAGCAGAATACAATTATTACAAGTTGCAAAACAGAAAGCTGGTGTGTTATAATGGCTTGACATAAACTATGCAGTACATTGATTTATTCCTTGTTTTTCTGTTGGATAAGCTGTGTCTAGCATCTCTTAAAGAGACAGAACATTGGGTTTTTTAAATAGCTTTGGAATAATTTCAGTGTTCATATATTGCTGGTTTTTAATTAGAATTAATGATTACTGTATTTGAGTAGTCTTTGATACTTGGGCCATAAAAACATGTTGCCCTCCCACCCCTGCCAGCAACATTTGAAAAATGTTACATTGCTTTAAGTTTATTGGAAACATATATTGTAAAATGATCTGCTAGTGCTAGTGTGTTGGGTTTCTTTTTTGGATAGTACACTGGATGGAATATGTCAATACTTTTCAGTAAAAAGATTCCTTCTGCCCCAATTCTGGTTTGAATCCTGAGATCTTATGAACAGAACTTAATTCATAAGACACCTGCTGGTAGAACTGGAGGAGGCCTTTCTTGCTGTGGAGGACAAGTGTGGGACTGTGGGGAAAAGGTTGAGTTGACTTCCTCCTTCTGCAAGTGGAAATCTCAGCTGGAGCAAAGGCCTTTCCATCAGCAGAAGGAGCCCTTTCTTCTGTTCATGGAAGGGCAACTGCAGACCCAAGCATATTTTCCTAAATTTAAGATTAATTGTACTTCATATAGCCTTAATGATTCACCTTTGCATCTTGGTATGTAGCATTAGTTTCTTGTGGTGTGGAAGGAGTTGCATTGTGGTGAGGATTGTAGTGGCCTGATGTGGCTCTGATTTCATTGCCTCATTGGGCAATGAAATGTCATTCAACATGGATGTGCTTGTTGGCAAAAGTGAGTGGGGTCTAGGCATGTCCACACTTATTCTGTATGAATTGTAATGTAATATAGAAGGCACTACAGCTCACTGAGGAGAACCTATTTTGTTTACAGAACTAGAAATCTCTCTTCCTTCTCAAGAGTGGTGTGGGTTTTTTAAATAACATCTTCATGGAAAAGTCAGTGTGGAGATAGCAATAGTACTGATGCTGCAATACTGGAATTTAAAGAACTATTAACTGGTTCCTCATGTCCAAGGAAGCTTTTGGCTTGGATTTTCAAAAGCCATTTGTGATATAGTGTAGGAATCTTGCGTTCAAAGGGAGCGATATCAGAACTTTCATTGGGAATGAGCTAGCTCTTGAATACATCTTTGGATGATGGCTACATTCTTTAGTATTGATTACTTGAAAAATAGTGTCTGCATTAGCTGGCATATAACAAAAACAATAGGCTGGATGAAAGTCAGTAAACTAAAATGGAATTGCTATAATAAAGAGGTGTTGTGGGTAGGTAGTTCTTATATCCAGGAACTGGCTGCACACCCTTCTTTAGAGGGGCTTGCCTTCTCCTTGAGGGGTCAGGTATGTAGACTGGTGGTACTTCAAGATCCAGCTTCATAACTGAGCCCATATGGCCTCAGTGGCACCAAGTGTCCTTTTCCAGCTTCAATTGGTTCATTGGCTATGGCCATTCCTTCACAAGAGATGGCTTTGCCATAGTGATATATGCCCTGGTAAGCTCCTATTTTGGTTACTATAATGTGTTTTGTGTTGGGGGGGGCAAGAAGTTGAGGTGGAAGCAGCAGTTCATGCAGAACATGCTGTAAGATCGTTGACCAGTTCATCCAAATGAAATCTCATCATACTGATTCTGAGGGAGTTACACTGCCTGCCTATATGCTTTTGGGCTGTATTCAAATTGCTGGTGCTGTTTACCGTAAAGTGATAAACAGCTTGCGGTCCGAAGATCTCCATAGCTTATCTCCATACCATCCTGTCCATGCCCTAAGATATTCCAAGGAGCTCTTCTCTGTGTACAATGGTTGGGGAATATGTAGTGACTTTTTCCCAGGCACATATAGAATTTTAGTATATTATGTTGTGATAGGATTGCCTGCTCTATTGTTTTAGCTGCTCATACTGTTCACATTGGTTTTATGGTTGCATTTTATTCTACGTGATTTTATAAATTTATATTTTGTACCCTGTTCTGGGATCTATCAAGTTGAAGGGCAGGCTATAAATATTCTTAAATAAAATAACACAATGCTCAATAGGGGATTTTGCTGTTTTGTAAAAGTGACTGCAGTGTTTCCTTTCCTAATAGGTTAAAAGGGATTGATCCTTTTCTTAATAGCTTCCCAGATTCTTGTTTTTGGGGCTTCTTGTTCTTCTATCCCTACATTTGTAAGACAGTTTATTTTTATTCACCACCTGTCATTAAATACTGCGAATGCTAAAACAGTGGTCTTAACATTTCTGGTAGTTGATTAGAAGGTTAGTTTAAATAGTTGTTCATAAATGCAGTAGGTGCTACAGATATGTGAAATCATGGTTATAAATAGTATCTGTAGTTCTTTCACACTCCTCTATATGGAGGTCAAGCAAAGTCAGTTAAATCTGAGAGGAAAAAATGATTGTGATTCTTGCATTGGTAGTCTGCCTGTGGTTTCAGTAAATATAAACCATGGATTTCTTTTGTTTCTCGTTTATGGGTGAGCAAGAATCATTAAGAATTCTCTGCTCCAAAGCAGTATGTATGGAAATGTTATGTTGAACTTGTATTAGTTATTAAACAACAAATCTCCAAAGTACAGCAATAAGTTATGGGAGAAATAAACCTATGGTGCCTTCATATTGGTGGAATGTTAGCTTAGTGAAGTCAGGATTCTACATGTGCTTAGCAGAAAAGGCAAAATGATATTGCTTTAAACTACAGAAAATGTAGTAACACTCTGTGTACATATGCACACAGCATCTGTGGCAACATTACTGACACATACTAATTGTAGCTTGGTGCATCATCACCGTTTCATCAATCATGCATAGAAGCAACCAATCAGTGCATGGTGATGGTAGAATGTCCCCAATCAATGCATAGTGATGGCAGAATGTCTCTAAGGCATCATTCCACTACTTAGGTGGTCACAAATCCACCACACTGCATTCAGCAGTGTAAATCATCATGACACATCCCAGCATGACCCTGGCAACAGACACTTTTCAGGCATATTTTCCGACAGGGTTTGAAATCCTCCTATATCTCTTCCATGCAATAAAGCACATTTTGGGGGGACAGGAACACAAACAACAGCTTGAACAAGCCACAGTTCCTCATATTCATATGAAATGGGAACTGACAGTTTGTTGCGGACAGCAAGTAGAAGCTTTTGAACTCCTCCCTTTGTGCATGGAGGAGGAGTCCATAAGCCCAATACAGGTCCCATTCACATTCATAACAATATTTTTTTATTTATTAACAAAATGTAAATACCACTTGATTTTAGTAAAGCCTCTAAGTTGTTCACAAGAAATAGTAAAACTATCAATAAAAACAGTTAAAACATTTAAAAATAATTAAAATTAACAGCAAAAGAGAATGCATTTCAACATCAACTCAGTTGGTTAGAGTGTAGTGCTGATAATGCCAAGGTTGCATGTTTTATCCCCATAAGGGACAGCTGCATATTCCTGCATTGCAGGGGGTTGGACTTGATGATTCTTAGGGTCCCTTCCAACTCTACGATTCTATGCTTCTATATGTCTGCACAGGCCTGCCTAAACGAAAACATTTTAAGCAGGCTCCAAAAAGAGTACAGTGAAGGCATTTGTCTGATGTCAGTAGGCAGGGAGTATAGGTAATGCCATGCTAAAAGAGAAATTTCTTAGAGCTGCAGAATGAGTATTGTGCAGCACACGTAAAAGTGCCAATTCTTCAGATTGAAACATGGGAACCACTCACCCACAGTGCCTCCATTTTGCCAGTATTGTGGCACCACTGTGTCCAGGTACCAGTCCAGGAGCTGTGTGGCCTCTCCTGATTCAGATGTTATGGAAATATAGTAGTAGTAGTAGTAATAATAATAATAATAATAATAATAATTCATTTCTTATACCCCACACATCTGACTGGGTTACCGCAGCCACTCTGGACAGCTTCCAACAAAATATAAAAGAACAAAATGTCATACATTAAAAGCTTCCCAAAACAGGGCTGTCTACAAAAAGTCATATAATTGTTTAATTCTTTGACATCTGACAGGAAGGCATTCCACAGGGTGGATGCAATAACTGAGAAGGCCCTCTGCCTGTTTCCCTGTAACTTCACTTCTCTCAATGAGGGAACTGCCAGAAGGCCCTTGGAGCTGGGGGCCTCAGTGTCCAAGCTGAACAATGGGGGTGGAGACGCTCCTTCAGGTATACAGGGCTGAAGCTGTTTAGGACTTTAAAGGTCAACACCAAGACTTTGAATTGTGCTTGGGTATGAAAATTATGCAGTCTATTGTTATAACTTCTTCTAAACATCCTTCACCCAATGAGACATCCTTCAGCTTGGTTGCAGTTTGTGGAGCTGCAGGCAGTTGTCAAAACAGTTGAGTCAACAGTTGGAGCTCAAGTGTTGAAAAAATTGTGATGAATATGAGAAACCATTATAGGGGTTGTTCTGTGGTTCATCATCTTTGGCCTCCTTTCGTATAATATAGGTGCAGCTTGTTTCACTTGCCTTGCCATCACCAATAGCTAGGCACATTTTGCCTCAGTCTTTAAAGTGTGCCTTATAGTAGTTCAGCCTGGATACTGCTAGTGCATGGGCAACTGAGACAGGCTCCATGCTCTCCAGATAGTCTCAGTTGGTATATCAGCTTAAGCTGGTAAAAAACACTTCTGGCCGTTGTTGCTACTTGAGTTTTCCCAATTTTTCCAGCTGCATATTGCATCCTTCTATGGGAGTGCACTCCTGTGCAAACTTACCCACTCACAATATCTCTGTCAATAGCAATTGGCCTAGTGAGCTACTAAAGCTGTGGAAGATCTCTTTGTTTATATATAATCACCTGACCCTACTGGTGAATTGCCTCCAAGATTAAAAGTTGCTGCACATGAGCTGTAGATTTGCTGTCAATGGGTATCTGACACCTACAACAATTTTCGCGTCAATAATAGTGTGAGTATTTTTCTCCATTGAGTTGTATAGTGGTTTCTCCTGTAGCTGTCAACGATCCATTATTGATAGAAGGTATATTTTGTCCTATTATATAGGTTGTAATACAGCTTTCTTAAAGGAGAAAATAATCTATTTCAATGGACTTCACAGTGTGGTCTGGCAGGGGATAAGAAACTCTTACCAATCTCTGATGAAATAATTTGGTGTTGAAGGTCAGGAGAGGAGTTAGAATAAAGGAAAGCTGATATGGTAAGGGTTTATGTAGAGAGCACAACCTTGGCCATGACCTCATTTTTTTAGCGTTATAAAGTCATGGTTCTCAGCTTAACCCTCCTGCATATAGTATGGGGTGTTAAAAGGATAATGGATTATCCACAGGGGTGTTACAAGAATTAGTTTGATGCGTATGAAAGAATTGAGAATAATTATTGTTATATTCTAATGTTGCTCATTTGAGGCAGGGATAACACTCCTCAACTGGCATAAAGGTTTACAACTTTTTAAAAGGTATCTGTTGCAGATACTTTTATTTCTAAAGGAACGCACTTACACACACAGCAGAAAGCTGACTTCACTATGTAAAATATTTTAAAATATTTTTGTTTTGTTTGAAATTTTATTTCAGTTCTGAATTGTAAAATTGAAAAATAACTTTCTTACAGTAGAGTTAGGAAGGCATTCATTTTGTCATTTTTTTAATTATCAAGTTCTCATGAACTTGATAAGTATTGCTGTTTATCTTTATAGCCTCTGCTTAAATGGAAGCCACCTTTGGGAGCTGGATGGTCTCTATTGACGTAGGCTTTGCATAGCAGCTGCACCACCCCAGGAGATTGCAATGAGTGGAGGAGGGGAACAGCCAGATATCCTGAGTGTAGGAGTATTGGTCAAAGAAAGATGGAAAGTGGTAAGTATTAAATCCTTCTTATTTCCTCCCCAGAAATATGAAAGCACTAGACTAAATAAAAAGAAATAAAATTGCAAGGAACCAGGTAAAAGACACAGTCACAAACTGCACCCTATTAGCAATATATGAAAGCATAGTAATATAGAATTGGAGAAATTTCCCCCTCTTGGACACCTTTTTTTGCAAATAAATACACAAGTTAGCAGTCTCCTTGCCTGTACTTTGGTGTGCTGGTCTTTTCTGGCTGGTCTCTTTCCTGAGAGTTTATTTGTTTGTAACATTGAGCATAGTGGCTGTAGGTAAGTGATGTGGTTTTCCTCAGCTTGAAAAGCACTTAAAAAGTGCTGCTGGCTGTTGTTCATCTTTACCTTAATGTGGCCCTGTGGAACAAAAATCTCACATAAGATGCCTGTTACCTGTATTTATAAAAATATTTATATACCGCTGTATTGTAAATATATATCATAGTGGTTTGCAACAATATGGAATAGAAACGTTTTCAGCAGGCATTTAACAGTTTGCACAAGAAGGCAGCCACTGAATCTATATTGGCAGGGTGTTCCACAGGACTGGGCAAATGACACTAAAGCAGTGGTTCTCAAACTGGTGTGGCAGTCACACTGGTGTGACAGAAGAGGATAGCAACTGTCAGCTCTGTTAAATATGAAATATCTTTGTCTTGATGAGGAAATGAGAGTTTATTTATCTCAAATTAGGCCTAAAATAAATGAGATCACTTGGTAAAGGCAAGCTCACACTTCTTATTGAGTTTGTATACATACTTAAGGTACATATGATAGAGACTTGTTTATAATTATATTTTGGGAATGATTTATGTTCTTATGTAGCTGTATTGTTTTATACTTTCTGGATGTCCGATGATCATATTATAAAGGAGTTGTGTTCCATGTTATAAATCAAGCAATGCTAGGAGTTGTTTCTTTTTGTTTTCCAATGTATTTCTTATCAATAAAAAATTGGTGTTGTGTGAGCAATTTTTTATTCTGAAAGTGTGGGCCAGAGAAAAAAGTTTGAGAACCACTGTGCTAAAGGCTTGATTTCTTGTCACATTAACAGTAGTTAATAGATTAAGAAATAAAATTTAAAATGAGTCTTACATTAAGTAGGGAAAGAGGTAACCTAATACAGTAACAGATTTAGTGGCTAGATAATATTCATAGTCTAGGCTTGTTAATTCAAAAGTTCTGTATTTTTTAAACAATACAGAATTAATATTTTTATTCATTACAGTTCAAAAAGATAGGAGGTGGAGGGTTTGGAGAAATTTACGATGCAATGGACTTGCTTACCCGAGACAATGTTGCATTGAAAGTCGAGTCAGCTCAGCAACCAAAGCAGGTTCTGAAAATGGAAGTAGCTGTGTTGAAAAAACTGCAAGGTAAGGAGGATAAAAGATCCTTGTTCTGAATGTATGTCTGATTCTTGGAAATCTGATAGGCTCAGTGTATCAAAGTATACTATATTGGTCAGTATGGATTCCAAATATAATAAGGAAGAATTAAGATTTAGTGTGCAATCCTGTGCATGTCTATCGAGAAAGAAGCAAGTCCCACTGATATCACTGGGGCTCACTACCAGGTAAGTGGGTATAGAATTGCAGCCTTGCATTGAGGACAAGAATAGGGAAGTTTTACTGATTTTTAAAATAATAATGATTCAAGTTGATGATGTGCCTTAAATCTGAGATAGGTGAAAAGATGGCAAGTATTGTTCTGAGAGAATGTGCGAGACTGATTGAGATGTGAACCTATGACTGCTGTCCTTGAAAAATGTTGTGAAATATTTTGAACACCACAAAATCCCTGAGCAACTTCTGAAATTACAGGATGACCTAGCTTACTCTCCCTGACAGTGTTACTAAATTTAAATATTTCTTTAGTAGAGGGAATTCCAACAGGTGTCGTTTGTACACCTGGTCACCTAAGATAGCTTAAGCTGTATGAACATTTTTGATACTCCGCATGTATCTCTTTTGATACTCAACATGTATCTGTTCAGGTTTTTGGTTTCACTTTAATAGAGGCATAAATTGTGGTGCAGCAGAACCAAAACAAAGCAGAGTAAAAATAAATGTTTTTCAGACCATTAATTTTGTAAGTGTGTCAATAGCCTTGGTGATAGCTGTCAATTTACCTCATGGGATTTGGGGGCCAATGGTGTGGGTTGATCCTCACCACATGGTCACAGGCCGGAGAGAAGAATTGTGGGATGCAGGCACACTCCCCTCCGTTTTTTCCTCCTGCCTGTCGCAGCAGTACATTTCTCCTGGTTCTCCTGCTTCACCTCAGATAAAACGCTTGTTTCTAATTTATCAACAAAAAGCATTTTTGTTGCATCTTAATGGCCATGTTTGCAGATCACAAATTGGGTTTATGCTCAAATACAGGCAGTGGCAAACCCTGCTTATGTTCATCTTCATGCAACAGGATGAGGTGGTTAAGAGTAACTAAAAAATGTTAGCACTGAAATATGTTTACTTCCATGAATGCTAACAACTTTTGGATAATGAGGCACTGTTTAATTATGAATTGGTGCAGAGAATGAGAGACAAAGTGGTTTTTATTTTTAACAAGTTTCTTCCACATGTCTAAGTTGTTCCTTAAGTTCTGTTTCCTTTTTTTGCCACCCAGAAATGTAAGTAATAGATTTAGGGATTTAGGGAAGCGCTTGGGGAGAGTGGGGTTAGTGAAAAGTAATCTTTCTACCACCTCCTTCCCCAGCAGCTTCCTGAAAAGTCTCTTGATGACTGGGGACCCTCCTGAGTGGGGAGTGCTGGGGTGGAGGGAATTGCTGAAAATAGGGTGGAGGCATGTCTGGTGAGAGGGAGTCTCTGCCCAGTTTTTGGCTTATCTCCCCTTTTAGCCCCCTGAGCCACAGTGCACCCCATTCAGCAAGTTTCCTTGACTTTTAGGACAGGCTTCTCTAGAGGAGGTGTTGCTTTCCCCCAACCTCATTTCTGTAGGTGACTCTCCGGATCCAAGCTTGTGAGAAGAAAAATATGGAAACATAAAAAGTGTATATTTTATTTCGGCAGGAAAAGATCATGTCTGCAAATTCATTGGCTGTGGAAGGAATGACAGATTCAACTATGTGGTCATGCAGTTGCAGGTAAGTTTGTTACATTTATTCGTTCTCTAAAACAGGGGTAGTCTACCTTTTTATACCTACTGCCCACTAATGCATCTTTCTTGATGGTAAAATTTCCTTACCGCCTGCCAGTGCTCAATGGAAGGAGGATTCAGCTTGTGCCGTGGAACCCCCTACTGCCCACGTAGAATCCTGAAACGCCCACTAGTGGGCGGTAGGGACCAGGTTGACAACCCCTGCTCTAAAAAGATGTTCAACCCCCTAAGAAAGAATGTCCAGCTAATGTAACATTGCTTATTTGATAGGAGAAGGGTAAATACAAACCACAGGCTGTTCTCCACGTGCCTTATCTGAAGCAGTTGCAGAGGGTAGCTAAACAAGAATGGGATTTTTTAGTGGTACCTCCATGTCTTTGGAACTCTATCTCCCAGGAAAATGTACACAGCACCATCCTTGTCATTTTTTTGGCACCAGGCTAGTACAGGTTTATTTACCCAGACTGTTAAAGATTAAGTTGACCGCTACTGTGCTGCTCGTCTTTTACAGGTGTAGAATAGATTTTTTCTTTTTGTATTGTTAGATGTGCAATTTATAAATTTTGTATTGCACATTGCTTTTAATTTGGGTTTTACTTGATTTTACTTATCTTGTGCTGTTACATTGCTTTGAGACTTCTTTGTGTTTAGCAACTACCAAACGCAATAATAACAACTGCTATTGCTGCTACAGCTTATCATGCCTTGAGATCTGGCCCACCTCTTGGGGAAAAAATTTGATAGCTTAATTGATACCCTATTTTCTTCTTGATCAGTTCAATGTAAAAAATAAATCTAATGTTGATTTATTTTGTCCATTATAAAATTATTATGAAAGCTAAATGAAAAAAATAAATATTATTGAAAATGTCTGTCTTCCTCATTTTGGATGGGCAGAGGGAAATTTCCACTGAACGTACTTTACTTTCTTGCTTTTTCAGGGTCGGAACTTGGCCGATCTGCGTCGAAGCCAAACTAGAGGGACCTTCACAATCAGTACTACCTTGCGACTTGGCAAGCAAATTCTAGAGTCTATTGAGAGCATTCATTCTGTTGGTTTTTTACACAGAGATATTAAGCCAGTGAGTTTATCCACAAATTTTGTCAGAGCCAAGAATTTAAGTTGCCACTGTTGTCACTTATTAGGGGGTGATCGTGCAGTTAGAACAATCAGAAAATTGGATAAAAAACTATTAAGATGACAGTGCATAGTTTAAAAGCTAATCCATGATTGTTTCTTTTATATATTGATTTTCAGTAACATTAAAACTCTTTAACTGTAATGGTCTTATCTATCAAATAATAATTGCTTTTGGTTTTAAAAGTAAGTTCTTAATTTAGGAAAGCCTAAGATGATTGCATCCACTGAGAATATATCACTCTGTACTTTATTTCAAAGTATTAAGATGTTCTGTTTAACATGACTGAATAGCACAGTCCTATGCATGTCTACCCAAAAGTTTAAATAATTGTATCCAGTGTTAGTCCTACGCAGAGTAGTTTAAGTAATTGATTGCAGCCTTAATGTTGTATTCAGCGTTTGTGTGTGGAGTTTGTTGTTGGTTTTATCAATGTATGGTATTATCAATCACTATGTCATCTTTTTCCTCCCCAGTCCAACTTTGCTATGGGACGTTTCCCTAGCACTTGGAGGAAGTGTTACATGCTGGATTTTGGCTTGGCGCGTCAGTTTACAAATTCATGTGGGGATGTCAGACCGGTAAGAAATTCTAATGAAACTTTCTATTAATAATTTTAAATTTGTGGTACCTCAGGTTAAGTACTTAATTCGTTCCAGAGGTCCATTCTTAACCTGAAACTGTTCTTAACCTGAAGCACCACTTTAGCTAATGGGGCTTCCTGCTGCTGTGCCGCCACCGCGCAATTTCTGTTCTCATCCTGAAGCAAAGTTCTTAACCCGAGGTAATATTTCTGGGTTAGCGGAGTCTGTAACCTGAAGCGTGTGTAACCTGAAGCGTCTGTAACCTGAGGTACCACTGTATTGGACTGCTTTTAAAATAACTGTCAGGCTGAACTGTTTTATCCATGCTTGATGCATTATGCCAGAGGTCTGAGACCCAAGTTCTAATCTGGCCACAACCATCCATGGTATAATGTTAATGGGCAGCATGCTAGTATGTGCTGTTACAAAGTTTTCAGGGTAATCCTCCCTCATTTTGCTGCCGCTGTGCTCTGAGCAAAATAGGCAAAGTATGGCTTGTCATGTCATACAAATATGAGCATGTGGTTTCTTTCACCCAAAACCCCCACGAGTGGTAACCAAGGTTTCTTTTTCACTTATTACTTGTTTGTTTGAGCAAAGGAAACCACAAGGCCAGGTTTGGATAACATGACAAGCCACACTCTGACTTATTTTGTCTGGCACAGTAGGAACAGAGGGAGGGGGAGCACCATGGTAACTTTTTGTTTTAAACCATGGTTTAATATCGCATGAAAGTGAGGTAATTGTGTCAGTGAGTAGGTTCATTGTCCCCTGGTGTTGTTGCTGTACATTTTTAATAACGTGTAAGGAGTGATTGGTGTTAGTGGTTTGGTGATTTAGTGCGAGATATAGGAGGGATTGGAAGGTTAGTTCGCTTGTGTGAGGTGTGGGAATAAAATGGGTTGAGTGATACAGCATGAGTAGTGAATTTGGTACAATTTGTGTAATTGAAAAACAGAAGTTGGCTGAATGTTACATACTGTGAGTTAGGATATGACTTGGCAAGTTAGAGGCTGAGGAGGGAAGGGGGCCCTGACTCAATATGTTTCCAAAATGTGCTTCTGGATTTTGTTTTTTTTTTAAATTATTTGATTAATTCTACTGCATCACTGTTTTTCAGTTTCATATACTATAGAAAAATTAGTATTGTGTTTTTGTAAAGCACTTTGTGTTAGTATTAAGCAGTATTAAGGTAAAGGACCCATGGACAGTTACGTCCAGTTAAAGGTGACTGGGATGGCGGCGCTCATCTCACTTCAGGCCGAGGGAGCTAGCGTTTGTCCACAGACAGCTTTCCTGGTCATGTGGCCAGCATAACTTAATTGCTTCTGGCACAATGGGACACCGTGACAGAAACCAGAGCACACAGAAATGCCATTTACCTTCCCGCCTCAGCGGTACCTATTTATCTAGTTGCATTGGTGTGCTTTCGAACTGCTAGGTTGGCAGAAGTTGGGACAGAGCAATGGGAGCTCGGATTCAAACTGCTGACCTTCTGATCAGCAATCTGAATAGGCTCAGTGGTTTAGACCACAGCGCCACCCACTCCCTATTAAGCAGTATATAAATATGTAAATAGAATAATAAATAAATAAAAAGGTGCTGGCCACTACTGACTTGTGAAACTTTTGTCTTATTCCCTGATCTCCCAAAATAAGGAATAAAAAGGTGTCTGTCTGGAGCTTATTGCACTTTCAATTAGCAATGAGCATTAGTACTTTGCATAAAGCAACTAGAAGTATGTTTGCAAAGATCTGAAAAAGTGCTTTGTATGAAGGGGACAGGGTTTTTTGTTTGTCTGGGCACTTAGTATCCTAGTCGTGGAGTGAATAGGAAACTAGCAATTAAAGTAAAATGCACTGGAATTTGGGTGCTGAGAAAAAAGGGAAATAACAAAATGGCTTCTTTAAGGTTGAATAAAATGGAACTATTTGAATAAGAACAGAAGAGCCCTGCTGGACCCATCCAGTCTAGTAAACTCTTCTCACAATGGCTAACCAGATGCCTATCGTAAAGCCTGTAAGCAGGTCCTGAGTGCAAAAGCACTTTCACCACTTCTGATCCCCAGCAGCTTAAAGTTAATAAATCTGGTTAAATAGAAAAATGTTTCTGAACTACTTAAAATGTGTTCAAAATGTGTTTACTTATTTACCATACCCATTTAAATTTTATTTATTATACAAACATGTTGCCCCAATAACATAGATCAAACAGACCTGTGCATTCTTAGCGGGGGAAGACTCCAGAGTAGAAGGCCTACATTATTCTTTGTAGTGTGGCTTTTATGTACTGTATATCTTTAACTAACACAGTGTAACAGAATTTCTCCCCCTCTGTTGTATTGATAGCCCAGAGCTGTTGCTGGTTTTAGAGGGACTGTGCGGTATGCGTCAGTCAATGCTCACAGGAACAGAGTGAGTATTAGTACTTGCAATAGCCTGAATGTTTAGTTACTGAAACAATTACAAATGGTGTGATTATCTTAACTTTCTGTTTCACATGTCTTTTTCCTATAGGTGATTTATAATTGTAAGTAATACTGCCTGAAATATTTAAATTGTTGGCAAAAGAAAATGTCTACTTATGCACCTTTAATCATACTGGATGTTCTTAGAATGGAAATAATACTGTGACTGAAATTTGCTAAATAAATTGATTACCATTTTAATTACATGGCATATTAAAAGAGTGCTAATTAATTTTTAGTAGGTATGGATGAAAGGGACACACATGCTCCCCTCCCCATGAGAGGTTGATACAGACTAGGGTGGGGTTTGGCTTTGCTGGGATAATGTTTTTCTGGTGGGATGTGAGAACTGACGGAAAGGATCACAGTCTTTTGGCCACTTTTGACTTTCTTTTTTTATCGAGGTGTTGCACAGCAGATGGTAACTGCTAGCTCTAGATGGTGGGTACAAAAGCACCAACAATATAATTCTCATTGTGATTACAGAAGACAGGTGGGATTCTGTTTATCTGTCTCCAGTTTTAAACCTTGAAGGTTAGCAGGAAGCCTGTTTCTGCTGTTGAACTAAAAGGTGATTTTCAGTGAAATACTAGATAATTATGTAGTTCAGGAAGAGGCAACTCTTCTTGCATACACTTCGACACATGGCTGTTCACTCATAGCTGGCACAAGCAACTAGCAAGGCAGGCAGCTTATCATGAGTGTTCAGTGGTCCACTAACTGAGCCAATACCTGGAGCTTGTACAATCTGTAAACAACTTTCTTTGTTGCTCTCCTGGAACTTGGTATATCATCAGCAGGGTGGATTAAGGTTCATAGGAATGACACAAGGGTGTATATTTGCTAAGGGCAGGCAAAATCTCTGGTTCAGGAGCAGGCCCAGAAAGACCTACAAATACACAAATCACTGCCTATCCAATAATTCAGCAAAGTACTTGAAACCACATAAAATAATTTAAGGAAGGAGGTGAAACACATTTAAACTAATTGCTAGCTTGCTTTGCTTCTATGTATACTTCTGTGAGTATATTTATAGAGTTTCTTCTCCCATCTGTTTTGAATCTATAGAGAACATTTCAACTCTTTAAGCATTGTTTTCTTACAAGTGAGTCTTGCCACAAAATGTTGCAGTGTAGAGTGCTTCTTCTAGGGTTCCAACCAGCCATGTCCTTTCCCAGGCTATGCCTCATTCCATGTCTCCTCCCCTCTGGCAGTCTATTTCCACGCCCCCAATCAGGCCACTGAATGTTCTCAGTCTGTTCTTGGGCTGTTTTGTTCCCCTCACCCACCAAGGTACTTGTGTAAGCCCAAGAGTCTACTAATCTCCTTCCCTGTGCATGGATGGTGCTGATTTATTACGATGGACAATGAAGTGTTCTTATTGGGTTGTTCGTCTTGCACAAGACTCAGGCAGGAGCAAAGAATTATGGGAGGTAGACCGTTTCCCCTCAATTTTTTCCTCCTCGGCTCTCACTGTTTTGTTGATTGTTAGTTAGCAGAGTCCTCTTTAAATACTTTCTTCGTGATTCTTAGTTACTTAGTAATTGGCTACTTTTCCTGTCTATTGGTCCTTTTATGCGTCCTCCACTGAGGTGTAAAAAAACAAACAACCTTGTCTCCCTGCTAAACATCTTTCCCTGTTCTGCGTTCAGTGTTTTACTTCTATTTTCCATTAATTTCTTAATTTTTATCTTTATTTCTTGTTGCTGGCTATTGTCGTTTTGGCAGATGGGCTGCCTTTTATTCCAGCTTTTTTTGCGGTGCAGGCTGCCTCGTGCAGTGACTGCGAGCTGCTTCCCTAACAGCCGCTCTGTGCCTTACCCTCACCGTCCTTTTGAACCCTTTATTCAGCGCATTTGCTTTCCTTCAAGAATTGCTGCTTCTACAGAGAAAGAAAGGGACAAAGAAAATAAGCTTCAACTCCTTGTTCTCCTGTCTGCTTCTGCAGCGCAAAGGGCTGTTTCAACACGTTTCGCCTGCAGTAATATTTGAATCAGCAGTCTGGTTCAGAGGCTCAATTTCCTCCCAATAAATTTCAATGGCGTCCTTAGAGTCTCTGCAAGGTTTGGGTGCCTCTCCGCATAAAAAAGCGAAATAAACATAGAATGTGGTCCTCTGCTTCCTGCAGTTGCTCAAATCACTCCTCCCATGCTAAGGGCCATTGTTTTCCAGTGTTGTCAGTAAGGTAAGGTCTACCCATGTAAACAAATCTCCTTCAGAGCAATCCATGGCTCAGCCACAGAGTGCTGCTCAGTTATCTAGTGAGATTTTACTGCCATCTGCTGGCAATACTAATAATGACATAGCCATATCCTCTGATCCTGAGCCTGAATTTCAGGGTTTTGCTGATGGCCAATTAGGATCTACTGTAATGAGCAAAGTTCATTGCCACCAATGGGTCAAGGTTTATCAGAGGTTTTGAATGTGAACTTGTCTGCTTCTTTAATTGATCAGTTGAAGGATGCCCTTCTTGCCTCCTTATCATCAGACCTTAAGCATGACATGTCCCAATGCTGCCTTTCCTGTGCGTACTAAATCAAAGCTTCTTGTACGCATATGCCACATTCTGCAGGGAATTCTTCCCCTAACCCTTTTCAAGTTATGTCTGAGGAATTACAGGAGGCTGATTATCTCATGCATCACTGGATGTGGAAGAAGAGGATGCACGGGAAGAGCCACAATCTTCCAGGCTGTTTCAAGATTTTCAGACAGCAACTTTGCTGTGTAAGATTATGAGCCCTTTGTCCTCTAAGCAAGCAAAGGAGACTGAGGCAGTTTCTGGAAGTTTTGTGTCTTTTCTAACAGATACGAGTCCATCAATCAACTTCATGCGGGTTCCATCTCTTCTAAAATTGATAGTAAAGGCAGAGCTAGATGCTCCTATGCATTTGAAAAGGACTAATGGATTGGTGAATAAATTATATTCTTTAGAGCCAGAATTTATGGCTCTAAAGAAGTCACCTTTCGTAGATCCTCCTCTGCTGCATCTTTCCTCACGTCATTTGGCCCCAAAGGATAAGGATGCTCAAATGCATGATATTACAGATAGGAGAATCGAGTTTGCCCTTCGCGAAGTACATGAGGCTACTTCATTTTCATTGAGAGCTTCTTGTATAGCTTCCTCCTGCGCACATGCCTGTGTGGTATGGTTGGAGGATTTGCTCCATAATCCTCCTCAGGATGTGGTGCGTCACCATCAAATCCTTTCAAAACTCATAAAAGCACAAGCCTGCATGGCGGATGCAACTGTGGATGCTATGCAGTTTGCGCCAAGAGCCATATCTGCACAGGGAACAGTGTGCTGCACTTTGTGGCCTAAGAACTGGCAGGCTGACTCTGCTGCTAAGGCTAACTTGTCTGTGATACCTTTTGTGGGAGGCCAGCTACCTGTACTTGGAGAGTCAGCTCTGAAAGATATTTTGGTGTAATCAAAGGATAAGCGTAAGGTTTCTTTAAGTCAGAAGGCTGATAGAAGGTATGCTAGGCATTTTGTTCCATACCCCACTCAGTTTCATTCCTTTCACTGCTCAGATTCCAGAATAGGCAGTGAGATTCAAGTCTCAACCCTTTAAGCAGCGTTACCAAGGTAGACAGCCATTCCATCGCTTTTCTGCCGCCCCAGCCACCAAGGGTGGTAAGCAGCATACTCAATGACCCTGTGTCACAACAGGTAGGGGGGTGCCTAAAATGGCTTCTCCCTACTTGGCAGCAGACCATATGATTTATTATATGCTTGAGTTTTATTATGGAGGGTTCGTTTTCTTGACATGCAGGTTTTTTCATGTTGCTGCATGTTACTTTCTTTACTCTTGTTCCTGTTCACGTGTTAGCTAGGAGGAGGTAGGCCTTCTGTTTAATTTAGTTTTAGATTTTTTGTCATGGTGCTCCTGATTGGCCAGTCCAAAAAACTGAGGAGAAACGGTCTACCACAATTCTTTGCTCCTGCCTGATTCTCGTGCAAGAGGAACAGCCCAATCCAAATACTTCATCGTCCACCTAATAAATCTACTATTCAGGTAAGACTAATCATCATTTTTAGCTGCATCTTGTCTGTCTGCTTACATGTTGAGATCAATCATTTTTTGCTACATACTTCGCTATTGTGGCGTTAGAATTTTAGCATGTGATACATTGTTTTTGGTAGCACAAGAAAATGGGGAGTTGACTATATAATAACATACTGTCTCTTTTTCTTTAGGAAATGGGACGTCATGATGACCTCTGGTCTTTGTTTTACATGTTGGTTGAATTTGTGGTTGGACAGCTGCCCTGGAGGAAAATTAAGGACAAGGTCTGTTGAGAAATGTACCATTGGAGATAAACCGCAAAGAATGTCTTTGAATATGTTCATGAGATTCCTTTCAATATATTAAAGTTCTTTAAAAACAATGTTTGCTTACTTCAATGCATTTGTTTTTTAATTAACATAGCTGGCATGAGTACAGAATTTCATTAATCTTAGTTAAAAATAATAAAACCCATCTTCTACACAAGGGGTTGGGAACAGGATCTGGTGATCAACCTACTATGGTTCATTTTTGATAGATGCACAGGGCCACCCTCCAGTCAGTTATCAGTCATACGTTGTCAGATTATTAAAGTTCAAAGGAATAATTGGGAACACACTCTAAAAGTACTCCTGATTCTTATTTGCAGAATCTTTGCCGAGTATGCTGGCTGTTTGCCATAATAATAAACATTGACATTGAGAATCTTTGCAGCCACAGCTTGAATTCAACCTGCAGCTGCAAAGATTCCTGTCAAATGCAAGTTCCCACCTTCTGTGGGAATCCAGTCTACTTAGGAGCTCTGAGCTGAACCCAGTGTGTTTGCATTTGGTGCCAAATTAAAAAGACACCTAATTCAAGCCCCGTTTCAGAGGAACAATTGGGAGCACATTCTAGGGCTCCTGAATGTTTCTTCTCAGCCATAACTTTACTGATCTCACATCTGACATCATACGATGGCTGGGGGAAAATTGATATTGTTGGACAGATTATGCTCTCTGGTGTGCCTAATGTGGCCTGCAGGCTGGAAGTGCCCCATGTTTGTGCTATACAATCAAGCCAGTGTCTTTTGTACATAATTTAATATATCTCTTCACTATATCTGACCAGCTGTTAGTTCCCCACTTGCTGTTTGGAGAAGAGCAACTTGGATCTTGGCAGAAGTTCAGTTTCATTTCAAATGGCTCTTTATGTGTTTTTAGGCTTAAGTTAACAGGGAGGTATATCCAAGAGCATTTGTTTTATTTTAAAGATGGTTCATGTTAAAGCTTGTTACAGACCTTTACCTTTAAAACCAGAGCTATTAATTTTGATCTGAATAAAGATTAGAAACTCAGATTTGATATGGTTACTGAGGACCCTAATGTGTTGAGAAAAACTCATTCATATCCTCAGAACCTATCAAATCTATGCTTCAGGTAAAAGCATTTGTCCTATCTGAGGTCCTACTATGCAGAGAAGAAGTTAAAATAATACAAAATATACTCTAATGGAAGAAAGAAGAAAGGAAGGTAAGGGAGACACCTGCTCCAGTTGGGCTGTCTTCTCGCCTGGCCAACTGTATTTTCATTTATTTGTTTAGCATTTTAAAATTCTTTACTGCTTTCAGTTCCTTGGCAGAGGGGTGGCATATAAATAAATAATGTCTATAAGGAACTGAAGGAAAGTATGGTAAATATTTCATTTTCCTACTTGTAGGAGCAAGTGGGCTCCATAAAAGAGAGGTATGACCACCGGCTGATGCTGAAACATCTCCCTCAAGAATTTAACACCTTTCTAGATCACATTTCTACTTTAGATTATTTTACTAAACCTGACTACCAGGTATGATTTTTTGTGCCTTAATTTTATGTCTTATTGGAAACCCATGTCTTGTTAAACATGCATTCACACATCTGTTCCAATGAGTAGCAATAGCTAATTAGGTACACTATCATTATACCTTACTTTTGCCTCTTGTGTTTTGTCATATTGTACCTAGACAAATCCATACTAACTTTTTTACGGGACTTCTAAAGTAAAAAAATGACAAGCAGCTGAAGTGAATGGTTTCCTTTTTACTCTTTTTAAGCTGCTTTTGCATGTTTTATTGTGTCTTTAGTCTGGTGTCTAAGACATATCTCAATACATTGGACATATTTAAATACATTGAATATATTGATTTCCAAACACAATTCAGATGGCCACTGCATGTTTTGTGCAGTGTGTATATGAAACCATTTTTCTGCAGGAATTGTACCCCTGTATCAGTTAGAGAAATTAGCTGATGAGGCAGAATTCTACAATGTTCATATTGGGTAGTTTTGCAAAGATTTGCAGAAGAAATTGGAAAGTAGTTTTTAAAATAGAATATATCAAAGCGTCTAGTTCCTCATTTCTCCCATTGTATTCTTTGTGCTTGCTCATACAGTGTTCTTTTTATTGCCCACTTCCTGTTAATCCTCATGCCGCAATATATACTATACTTAACCTGTAATAGAAAACAGGTGTAAGAAAATGTCTTGCGATGACATGTAAATATAACGGCTTCAACTTATTAATGAAACCTGTCCATCATTTGAATGCTGTGTTGCCTTTTTTAACAGATATCAATATAATGTCTGCCTTTCATAGGATATGAAACATTCCTCTTCTCCAAGGCCTTTGGCAAATTAAACAATTTATGGTCTTTTAAACTGTTGAGTGTCATTGTTTGTTACTATGTTGTGTAGTTTTGTGTTTTTATAATGTAAACTGCCCTGTGATCCTTGGCTGAAGTGTATAGAAATTCAATAAATAAATAATAGGATTAAAAAAAAAAGTTTTCATGAATGGCGTGAAAGAACAACTTTCGTGAGTTTTCTAAATGTAACCTGGGAGCATACCAACTCTTCTCTTTTGTTTATATAGCTTCTCATGTCCGTCTTTGACAACAGCATGAAGACTTCTGGGGTGACTGAGAGTGACCTATTTGACTGGGAAAAGAGTGGAGCTGATGGCTCTTTAACAACAACCACCACTTCAACTACTCCTCAACTGCACACTCGTCAGACCCCAGCTGCCATAGGGTATGTCCTTTTGATGTCATCCAGTTAATGAAGTGACATGTGACATTCTGGATAGTAGGCATTCTTTCTCTGTCCTAAGACCTTGATCTAGAGACTTCTGTTCCTTATGTGATAGCATTGTAATGGTGAGGGAACCAGATGTACTTCTTCCATAACCAGGTGTTGACAGACAAACTCTGGAGAGCTTGCTTGGAAGAATCTTTCATACTTCTCTAAAAAGACAGTGCTTCTGTTTTGAATAGTTTTAGGGTGGGATTATATGTGATTCTCATTCTAAATTGTGTTGCAGCATTAAGAAAAACAGATTGCTCAGTTTCCATTTGGGAGAGTACCTGGAGAGTGTACTACTACCCGGATAACTTTGTGAACAGCCTAGAGGACTTTGTTGAATAGGTGACAAAATTTAAAACTTCGTATTAATTCTGTTGGTTATAGGTAACAAACCCATTAATGTAGATTACATATCTACATATCTCCTGGCATCCCCCCACCTTATAGCATTGTGGCAAAATAACACAATACAGTCATACCTTGGTTCTAGAATGCCTTGGTATGCATATGTTTTGGCTCCCGAATGCCAAAAACCCGGAAGTTAGTGTTCCAGCTTTCAAATGTTCTTTGGAAGCTTCCACGACTTCCGATTGAGTGCAGGAAGCTCTTGCAACCAATCGAAAGCCGCGCCTTGGTTTTTGAACGGTTCCTGGAGTTGAACGGACTCCCAGAACGGATTAAGTTCAACAACCAAGGTACCACTGTACCAGCATTCTAATCTTGCTCCTGCATGCTGCACTATGACTAGGGAAGATGCAGACGCATAGAGCTGCCCTTCAGTCTCGGAATTGATGGCAATGTTCTGAGTTCAGATTCCCTAAGGTTTGAGCTGAAAGGAGGTAGAGTGTACAGCCAGTAGAGAGTAAAGCTCTGTTTAGAATCTGTGTGTGATACCAGGTCTGACCAATCCAGGTGCTTCTTACTTGCTGCCAGATGCAAAGCCTGAACCCCGAAGAGTTCCGAGGATGGCACACACACTGTTTTACAATAGCTTATTAGATGAGGCCTGAGACCTTAAGGATCATGATTTAAACTCTTAGAGTGTAGATGGGAACCTGTGGCCCTCCTGATTTTCCTGGATTGCAGCTTTCATCATCACTGACCATTGGCTCTGCTGTCTTATAGTCTTAACAACATCCAGAGGAAGAAGGGAGGGTGTAACCTGTGCTGCATCCTTGAGTCAAACTTTCATATTGCAATACTGTTTCTTTGTTATTTTTCTTCTTCTTTATAGAATTGCCAATGCTACACCAATACCAGGAGATATGTTGAGAGAGAATACAGATGATGTGTTTCCAGATGAACATCTCAGTGATGGTGAGAATGGTATCCCTATGGGAATCTCTCCAGAAAAGCTACCAGAGTCTCCTGGACATCATCTTCAAGAAAAGGATGTGTGGGAGGAAATGGATGCAAACAGGAATAAGATAAAAGCAGGTGTCCATAAAGTAAGTATTATAATTGAGCAGACAATAACATTCAATTCTTTTTTGGTTCTATATCTTAAGATTTGCTTTAATGGATCAAATAAAATCACTATATTATCAGCAAGTCAGATGTCTCGGGAAATGAAGAAGCTGGGTATGTTGGGGACAACTATGTCATTTGTCCCAGCGTTTGATATATTTCTTTTAACATTAAGGTTTTATTTTCTGCTATTTGATAAAGAGTTGTTCATTCCTGAAAGCCATACGAGACCGTGAACTATATAAGATAGTGGACATCTCTGTGTCCTGTTTCAGTGGTTTTCATGAGTTAATTATGCTTTCTTCTGTTTGTCCTGAAACCTACTGACAGCTTTCCATTTGATGACTCAAGAGTTTATTTGTTTATAATTTTATAAACCTACATTTGCTCTTCCTTATTGTGGTAGTTCTTTTCCCCCATCACAGAACTCTCCATTTTTAAGCAAGTATTCGTGAGGAAGATACTGTTTCTTCCTGATAATTTGTTGTTATTTTCTATATCTACTCCAGCTCTGTGCTAACTTTTGAGCATGGCCATAACTGCATTGTATTCTTTATATTGCTTCACCTTAGGTTACATAGTAGTATTGTGAAAATATATTCTCTTTATAAATTATTTCCTAATTTTTGTTAAATTGCTAAGGACACCTAGCTGGCATTACAGTGAGCAATTTTACTGTGGCCCCAGGCACAGTATTTGGGACATACCGTATTTTTCGCCCCATAGGACGCACCTAGTTTTTTGGGGGGGAAATAAAGGAATTTTTTTTTATTCCCCCCCCCAGGTGTGCTGTGCTAAGCCCGAAGCTTGGGGCGTGCGGAGCTCAGTGCGCCCCAAGCTTCTGGGTGCCGGCAAGGTCTCTGCTAGCCGTGGGAGAGCCGCGCGGTTCTCCCAGGGCTAGCGGAGCGCTGCGCTAATCCCGAAGCTTGGGGTGTGCGGAGCTCAGTCTCCCACGGCTAGCAGATAGCTTCCTGAAGCCTGGAGAGCGAGAGGGGTCGGTGCGCACCGACCCCCCTCGCTCTCCAGGCTTCAGCTAAAGCCTGCATTCGCCCCATTTTTGGAGGGGGAAAGTGCATCTTATAGGGCGAAAAATACAGTATATCATAGTATATACTTGAAGTAGGCTATTTTTAACCCCATTGTTCATTACTTTATGTTTTCACCTTTTGACCACTGATCACAGGAATAAGCTGAAGATTCAGCTTTGTCTTCTGTGGCTGCTTGTTTCTGTAGCATATTACAGTCTGTCTCCCTGATGCTTGCATTGGTCACAGCTAAGGTGGCACAAAGTATTGCTATTTTAGACAAAACAGCCCTTTCTTAGAGCAGTAATGGGACATGTAGTTCCTTCTGTGTGGGGGTAGGGATGTTGGGTAGAGTTCAGTTGTTCTGTTCCACAGATGGAAGATATTTCAGTTTGGTGAGCACCTCTGCTAATGGAAGGAGCGGTACATCTCCCTGCCTCAGCTGCTTCACAAATAATCTGCTCTGAAGAGTTTTGGGAACCCTTCAGAACAGCATGGAAGGTGGCAGGCGGGAGGTAGAATTAGTGAAAAAACCTCATTGATTCTGTTAGCAGAGGCCTCTGCTAAATGAATTGTATAAGAGCAGCTATAGAATCACAGAACTGTAGGGTTGGAAGGTACCCAAGGGTCATCTTGTCCATTTCCGTGCAGTGCATGAATCTCAGCTAGAGCATCCATGACAGATGGCCATCCAACCTCTGCTTAAAAACCTCACATGAAGGAGAGTCCACAACCTCCCGAGGGAGATGGCTCCTCTGTCAGGAGAAAACAGGGTTGCTCCATCTTCCCTGTGACAGCTCTTTAGATATTTGTGTTTGCTAGTGGGATCAGCTGTGTGTGAGTGAAATCAGAAAACATTAAAACTTAATTTTTGAAAATCAGTGATAGAGTATATTGTTTGCAACTTAGGGGCCTCTGTTTCAATCCTTGTCTTTCCACATAGGGCTAGGAAACCTCAGATTGCTGCTATTGAGCTTAGTCTAGTTTGAAATAAGGCAGTTTTCTATGTTCATTAGTATCTAAACCCTGGATGTTAGGTAGTATATAGGGCTGCTTTTAGATATGGATACTGATTTGGAGTTAAAGTCCACAAGCAAACAATTTCAAAAGCACATTTACAGAAGACTGCATATTAGCCACAAGCAAAATTGAAAGTTCATGTGGAAATTAGTTAGTTCTGGTGGTAAATGAAGTTGAGCAGCGATCATTCTGCTGCAGTTCTGACTACATTTAGCATTGCAAGCCTATCAAATAGAATAACTGAAAGTGTTTTGACAGAATGAAAAGCCAGGATGCCAACAACTAAATGTTACATTTTGTGTCTTTTACCTGATATTTTATAGTTCTCTTATGGTGTTTTTAATCACAGGCTGCTACAGAAGAGGAAAACAGCCATGGACCAATTAATGGCATGCTTAATGCACCAAGCCTTGGTTCTCCAATTAGAGTCCGCTCAGAGACCACACAGCTAGATCGGGATGTTCCTCTGGTGCGGAAGCTACGATCAATTCACAGTTTTGAACTGGAGAAACGTCTGACCTTGGAGTCCAAGCCAGATACAGATAAATTTCTGGAAGTCTGGTATGTAATGGCTTTTGTTTTGCTAAGCTTTCTTAGCAGTTGCTTTGCTTATAGTGAGTCATCTTTAATTGATTAGTTATTTGGCACAGATTTCACTGTTACTCATGCCATATGATTGACCCTACAAATGCAGGGAAAGTAAAGGCAAGTTTTGGAAATGGGGATCCAGTAATTCAAAATATATTATTTGAGAAATCCAGTTCTAAAAGATTAGTTAGAACAGGGGTAGCCAACATGGTGCCCTCCAGATGTTCTTGCACTATAGCTCTCATAATTCCTGGCCATTTGACATGCTGAGTGTTGATGAGAGTTGTAGTCCAAGAACAACTGGAGGATGCCACAGGAGCTACCCCAGAACATCTACTAGAAATAGAAATGTAATGATATTGATAACAAATGGCCTAATTTGTCTACATTAGATAGTATCCTGTTATTTTTCACTTAACATGGTTTACACAATCCTAATTTGCTTGATCATGTTTCCTTAATTTCTCTCAACGTTCCCAAGCATGGAGAAGAAGAAAAGAGAGTTGAATCCTGGCAAAGAATCTGCTGTTGCAGCTTTTCAAAAACCACCCATGCCTCCAGTTGCTTCCGGTCATGAGCATGTTTGGCACTATGATGAAGAATACCTACCTGAAGCTTCCAAGCCCATTTCTGGCAGCTCTCCAGAACAGGGTGATGGTGTTGTCAGCAATGGATATGTGGCAGTCAATTTGAGTTCCTGCCAGCAGGAGGTTGACTCCAAGGAATGGGTGATAGTGGATAAAGACAGAGACCTGCAGGATTTCAGGACTAATGGAGTTTTAGGGCATAAAACAACTGGAAGCCCCTCTGATGAGGAGCCTGAGGTGCTTCAAGTCCTTGAAGAGCCCCCACAAGAAGATAAGCTTAGAGCTCATACCAAGAATACAGCTATGGGACCAGCATTGGATCTAGATATTGAGTGTCATGGTACAGCCGCTTCTGAACAGTTTACAGATCAACTAGAACTCCCAGTTGGAACTGCTGGTCATCTTCTTGCAGTCACACCCACAAGCCTAATGGAGGCCCAAGCAGAAGGGGCTCTTACTCCAGTAAGTGAACTGTTAATAGCTGTAGCTCATCTCTGTTGTATTCAGACACTGTGAGAAATCTTTAACTGAAAGCATGAGATCTGAAGCTTAATCAAAATACTGCATAGAGATAATATCCTGCTTGCAGTCAAGAAGAGTATGATAGTTAATTGCACTTTGCAGAAGCAATTTTTCAGGGTTTAGCATGTATTTCAATAACGTCCACACTCTCAATTTTGATTTAATTAAGATACATGCTAAGAAAGCACAAGAATGATGGTATGTTTGAGAATTATTGAAAATACAGTGGTACCTCTAGTTACGAACTTAATTCATTCCGGAGGTCCGTTTTTAACCTGCAACTGTTCTTAACTAGAGGCGTGCTTTCGCTAATGGGGGCCTCTTGCTGTTGCTGTGCTGCCGGCACACGATTTCCATTCTCATCCTGGGGCAAAGTTCTCAACTCGAGGTAACTCTTCCTGGTTAGCGGAGTTTGTAACCTGAAACGTTTGTAACCTGAAACGTTTGTAACTTGAGGTTCCACTGTACTAAGGTTTTGCAATGACGTAATATAAATAATGTTGTTCCTTTATTGCAGAAAAAAGTGGTTTGTTCAGTTCCAAAAACCACTTTTGAAATATAAAAAACATGAGGCATGCACCTAGTTTGAATAATTACCTGACATAATTTAACTTTTCTTGAATTCTATTTTTATTACCAGAGGCCAGTAACTGTTGATTGTAGATACTGAAGTATTTTGAAAAAAAATTAACCCACCCACCCAGGTGTAAACTGTTGTTTTCAGTTCTCTGGTTCTTCACAGCCCACTGTCTATTCAGTTCTTCATCACTTTTGCTTACTTTGAAACTCTTAACCTTTCTCAACAGTATAACTCTGTCTCTCTCTGTTTTAATCAGCATCACGTGGCTGCCAGTATTTACTCTTTGTAATATTGGCTACTGGAGGAAACAAAGTTCAAAGCTACAGAGAGCAGACCGAAATAAAGTGATCTTTATATATTTGAAGCATTTTCTTTTTTCCTTGCCATGTTGTTCTCACAGCTCAACTCACTTCACATGCTGCATTTCTCCATCCCAAGAATTTCAAGTCCCATCCTCCGTACCCTGAGCCCTATAACCCACCTCACCACCCACCTGGACCCTGTGAAAGAGGCTGGCTTTCCAAGGAGTCAATCAGGAGACAGCCACTCTTCCTCTTCCTGGTCAGCTGCCCGTAGGCAACTTCCTGTCATTCCCAGTGGAAACAAGTTCCCCCCTGTCATTCGCATCTCAAAAGCACAACTTCAGCAGGTGAATGCATCTTCATCTAAGCAACTACACTGTGTCAGTCATTTGCCATGTTTTATGGGTTCCCAGCTACTTTGCATTGCTCAAATGTAGACTTATGTATAAATACTTATCTTTTGAAAACACTGGTCTTGAGAAATAAAAATAACTTAAGAGATGTAAACTTCAGACAAAAGCACTACTTAATATGCAGAGGCTAGAGCAGGAAAATTCCATTAAGCTGATTTACTATGCAGAAAATGAAATTTCTTAATTTTAAGAAACGATGAATGCAAACCTCTGTAGTTTTAATCTTAGGTTAAAGCAGTGTCAGTAGATAACAGCGAGGAAGCATAGGTGACTTGAACATTTTTTTAAATGAATATACTAAAGTAAGTGTGTGTGTGTGAGAGAGAGAGAGAGAGCGAGAGAGAGAAGGCATAGGGAACTTGTAGCCTGTAGTCAAATTAGGCCCAACAAGGATCCTAATTTGGTTCACAAGGCCATTTCTTGCAAACCACACCTACCTATGCCAACCCTGACAACATATATGACATTGGGGTAAATTAGGTAAAGATGAGGCCAAAAAGAAATAATTGGATGCTTAAAGTGCACTCTTGATTGTCCCTTGGAAAGTGGGGCTCACTAACTCTACTGACAGCGAGCTCTTTTGAAGTTTCCCATATGTCACTGTGGTTTGGGTTCTGCTTGTGTCTGCAAACAAATTATTTTCCTCTGTAGACCAGCTTTGCATAGAGCTTTGCTAGTCTGCAGAGGAAAACTGACCATTTGCAGGCATGGTTCGAATCCAAACCATGTGTGCAAACAGACAATGCAGGACTTGCTGTCAGAGTGCATCGTGGGATGTGTGGGAGGTCAGGATCTAGCCTACCGGATGGAAAAAAATATTGACTCTTGTGTTTGAGTCTTATTTCCCAATTGATAGAACTAACAAAATTGTTAGGTATTTCCACAGCGAATAGGAAGCTAAAGTGTATTGCCCAGGGCACTAAAATGAATGGTTGGAGTATGTAGCATAGGGGAAAGTAATATAGAAAATGCTGAGAACCTAATATCCAAGCTATTTTTCTTTCCAGGCAAAAATACTAGTGTTCAAAATAATAATAGCACTTAGAATTGTTAATAGCAGCTGAGGAACGTATACATGAAATGACTATTAAACAGTGTGGTTTTAACCTCTCATTTTAATCCATCCCACCAAAATACTGTTGTGCGTATAGGACATTCCAGCAGAGCTCTTCATTTTGCTTTATATACAAAATAACATTGGTTTCAATTGTCATATTCTGTCACTGGATTAAATCATCACTGCATTCTGTGCTGGAGCATGTAGATTTACTTGCATATATTGAACTTGGATACTTTTAGTTTGTTACTTGGTTTCTGAATTTTTTTAATGCTGAAACTTCAGTAGGGTTTAATATTATTGCTACTGGGAAGACTATAATCAAAATCATGATCCCATCATTGTCTTAATACATATGTTGCTGCAGTCTTTCCAAAGCTGAGCAAGTCTTAGTCTGGTCAATTCCTGTATAAGAGATAGCCTTGAATTTAATGGAAGAAAGCATGGATATATATGATCTGCTTTTAGAAAGATAATGTATTTTAGAAGCTCACCTAGAATAGTACTGTGTATCATATTTTGTGTCCTGAGGCTAGAATGCAGTTTTACTTTTCTAATACAGTATATGTCTAACAAATGGCAAACATTGTGTCAGATAAATTTCTGGCAATATAAAAATAGGAAAGAACATTTAGTTTTTCACTAAATGAAAAGCTAAGGAATAGACTAGACCAGTTGTTCCCAAGGGGGGGGGTGAATAATGCTGCCTTATTGCCCTCAAACTTCATTGGGGAGCCTCCATTGGTTTCCAGTTTCCTCCATTAACAGCAGTCCTTCTGTTTATGTAGAGGCAATAGATTACAGTTTCCAAAAGGCCAAGGCACTGTATACTACCAGTGATGAATATTCCCTTTTAGGCAAGGTGCTCAAAAAGGTGGTGGTGGTCCTGCATCAGACAAGTTTGGAGAAAACTGGTTGCTTGGATGCATTCCTGGCTGGCTTCAGGCCTGGTCATGGTACTGAAGCTGCCTTTGGTAGCCCTGGTGGATGACATGTCGCGGGAGAGAGATGGGGGGGGAGTGTGACCCTGTTCCTTGTCTTTGATCTCTCAGGGGCTTTCAGTACTGTTGACTCTGGTATTCTGGAATGTCTCAGGGAAGTGAGGGGGGGAGGACACTCTGTCTCAGAGGTTTTGCTCATACTCCTAGGGTTGTTTTCCAAATGTAGCTATGAGAGGCTACTCTTCAGCACCATGGGAGTTGTTCTCACATGGTTCCATCTTGTCCCCCTTGGTGTTAAACATATATATGAAGCCTCTCGGAGCTGTCACCAGGGGATTCGGAGTGAAGTGCTATCAATATGCAAATGACACCCAGCTCTGTCTTTCTGTACCATCTGAATCAGGAGAGGCAGTTGAAGTGTTAGACTGGTTGGTTCACGAGCTACAGCCCATTTTGGACATAAATGACTTGGTCATGTTGTGGTATCTTGCAGATTAGATTATTGCAATGCACACTATGTTGGGCTGACCTTAACAATGACTTGGGTACTTCAATTAGTTCAAAATAGGGTAACCAGATTACTGACTAGCTCCTCATAGAGATGCATCTGGCATCTTCATTACACAGCTTTTGGTGAATGCTGAAGACACACCTCTCTACCTAGCTTTTGATATCTGGGGTGTATATTTTAAGGACCCACCTTATTTCAGAGGTTGTAAATTATTTTCAACTGTTTTCAATATTGTGTGTTTTTAAAACAACAACAACAACAATATACAGCATAAAACAAAACTGACAATGAGTAAACTCCACCTGCAGGCTTACAATATAAACAGACATGTGGAAAAATGGAAGGAATTAGGGAAAGAAAGCACCATGGAAGAAGACAAAATATAAATTAAATATAAAAGACTTTAGCTGTGGAGGTGTAACTTCCATAACCTTGAAAACGATTGTACTGTAAGAATACATTTAACTCTACAACGTTCATATTTCAAATAAAAAGGACCAGTGATTAAATCCCAAAGTTTAATCTGTTTTAGTCTTTTAACTTTTGTATGTTTTAAAGTAGGGTTGTATTTTTTTCCTTGATTTTATTTTTTTATCTTTTTGTAAGCCTTTTTGAGGCTTTTTACAATCAAGTAGTGTATAAATTTTATGAAATAAATAAGTTCAGTAATACAATATTGGGCATTAACTTCAAAGGCATTTCATTATTGCGGGGGGGGGGCAGCGCATATGCTGCCCTTCAAACTACTTTTGAATTTGATTTGTTCAGCCTCAAAACCCAAGAACCCTTCAGTAGGTGATAATGGAATTAGGGGGGTGGAAAAGAAAAGCTTTTGTCTCTCTGTTACAGCAAGAAGGACCTTTGTTCTGTTACCTTGCTTAACCTGAGCATGAACAAATGGGTCCTTGAAATTGGTTGCTTAGTGCAAAGTTTTCCAGTTGCTGGAGTAGGGAGGAAGGCCCACCGATTTCTTATACTATAGCAAGGCTAGCCAGCAGTTCTGGCTCCTCTAAGCTGTTTTATTACCATAATGCCCTTTAAAAAGAATCTCTAACGATAATGAGAAGGCCTCTTTTAAGTATTGACTAGGTATCATAGTTTTGACTTAATTTTTATTCTTATGAAAAAAACCATTGTTTCAAATCATTGCTATCTTTCCTACTTTAAATAATATCACTTAGTCTTTGCTCACCAGAGGGAGACAGTAAGCTATTTTTTTCAATGAGCGTTTCTTCAGTCATGTGAGCCACTGCATGATTAAAAATAGAAATGTCAATTTCTAAAAAATCTATTTTCATAACAAGCCTATAACTTAAATGGGAGATGGTAAAAAGCCAGAAATTAAATTTTTGATGGTTATCATTTTCATAGTGTCAGCTAATACCCATATGATGATGGCTTCCAAATCTGTTCTCTATCACCTCTTTCTGTTTGGTCCTATATCTCTGTGTTGCTGATTTATTTTCCTGAATTTTTCTCAAAGACAGAAGACTTACTATTTCTACCTAACCCCCAGCCCTACCATGTGAGAAGTGTAGCTATATTTTGTTTAGCTTCATTTCCTAACTCATAAGCATGCAACCTTAGTCACCTTCAGCAGTTACAAATGTAAATATTTATTTTTGCTGTGTAGTTTAGGAAATAGCATGATTTTCCGATTAAGAACCTACGTGCTAGCAAGGAAAGAATTAAAAACCATGAGTACTATTCAAATAACACTTATTCAGAGTATACCCAGTGAAATTAATGAACATGTCTTAAGTTAGGTTTATTAATTTCAGTGGGTCTACTCTGAATAAAACTTAGCTGAATATCATTCTAATCCTCCCCACTCACCCACCCCGGTCAACAATGTGGATGATAATGTTAATTACTATAGAGTAATGATGAATAGGTCAGTCATTGAGATACTGAAATTGAGATGATAGTGAGACCTCTAGGTAAATATCGGAGAGGCAAGTGGAAATGCAGGATTAGCCGAGGCAAACGTTCTGGAGTAGAAAGGTATCATTGAGTGCCATCGTTCTCTACATGGTAATGAGAGATACAGATTTTGATGAAGTTATTCAGGAAAAAAATGTGCAGAGAGAGAATAGCAAGGAACCAAGAATGGAACCGTGAAGAACTCCACAAAACAGTGGGAAGGCGGAAGAGGACCATATTTCTGTGGAAATGTGGAAAGAGTGATCCAGCCAGGATAAGGACAACCATCTATGAACAGAGTCATAGGGGGTCAGCCGTAACAAACACCACATAAAGATTGAGTTGGATGAGGACAGAGCAGAGACCTGTAGAACTGGCAGTGAGGAGATTAGTGATTTTGATGAGGACTGTTAATGTTACCACACACAAACATACATTGAATTGCCATGTTAACCCTAATTTACAACCTAGCCTAAAGTTTTCCTGTTGTCTTCCAGTTTTTTTCCAGTAGAGATTGCACCAGTTGGCCCAACACAGAGATACAAAAATATAGGGCTGTGTAGTTGTGCAAGAGGAAGTTATCTATTACTAGTCTTTTTGAACCTGAAAATAGGATATGGCAATATGTAATTTCAAAGCCAATAAAAATCTTTTCTGTAATATCATTTCTTTCTTCCTGTTTTCTGTATAGGTTACAATACCCAGACCATCAATGGCATCCACGCAGTCTGCTTCTGAGAGTTTTTATTTTGGCCAGCAACTAGAGAAGAAGGACCGAGATCCTCGGCTTTTGGAACATACTGTTGAACTTTCCTCTCCTAAGGAGAACTTGGTTGGCTTGGCAGCGGCAAACGATGCACTGACTCTTAGTGGCAGTAGAACAGATGTAGTACACAAGTTAGACCACAACCTAGAGGCAATTGGAAAGGATGAGTGTATTGAAGAATGTGTTGGAATCCAAGATCATAGCCAAACAGACCTACTTGAACAATACATGAAGAGACAAGGAGAAAATCTCTTCGAAAAAGTGGAAGAAAATCAGCTTCCTGTGGCTTATGAAAATGATATTGAAATACAGATTGAAGGACCATGTTCAACTGCTCAAGGAAACACTGAATCTGTATTGGATGGTCCTCTGGCTGTTTCAGAACCTGAAGAACTGAGGCCAGTTCCTTCCTCCTCCTTGCCAAATCAGGATGCAAAACAGGAGTTACAGAAGCAGTCAGCAGCCGAAACATCAGATGTTTCTTTATCAAGAAGTACTGACCCATTTGCTCAAAAACAGGACAACCAAGTAGTACCAGCGCAAGAAAATGGTTTCCATGATGATGGGGATATTGATCATGCTGAAGAATTGCAATGCCAACAGGTGAACCTTGCCACCTTTTTGCACCAAGAGGGGAAAGAAGAGCAAAATGTCCAGAGAAATGGAGAATTGTTGCACTCCAGTTCAGAGAATGAGAGTTCTAATCCATCCAAGAAGGAGTTAGTTAGATCTGCATTCGTGGCTAGACAGAGTCGCATTCCAGTTTTAGCACAAGAGGTAGACTCCTCATCAGAATCGTCTCCTGTTTCAGCAAAGGAGAAGCTGCTTCTAAAAAAGGCTCATCAGACAGACTTGGTTAGATTACTTGTAGAAAAGAGACAGCTCAAATCTTTCCTTGGTGACCTCTCAAGTGCCTCTGACAAGTCCCTGAAAGAAAAAGTAGTTGCTGGTCCATTACCACTTCCTGAAGATGTGTTGTCCTCCTTTTCAAAACTGACACTGGACACTCATTTGCACAGCCAAGTAGAGGAGAGTTTTTTGTCACCAAGCAACCCTCAGTCCAGAAAGAGCAAAATCCCAAGACCCGTATCTTGGACTCCCACAGATCACGTTAGCAGTTCAAATTCAGCTCAGTTTTTTCCTCGTCCACCACCAGGAAGACCACCAACAAGGCCTGGAGTAGAAGCCAGGTAAGTAAAAACAGCTACACCTCTGAAGCAGATTTGAGCAGTTTTGGGAAGGCTTTGTATGATACAATGCAAATTGCACTAAGTACTCTCCCCCCCCCCAAAAATATCTGCAATCAAGCTTATGTGCATACACACATACAGAATATTTTTCTCTTTCAAAATTCAGGAAAAAATTACCTGAATAATAACATTAAGAACATTTGTATACAATATTAATTTAAAACACTAGGTTTCTAAAACATTTTGCTTCTAGATTTAAGTGAACCTGTATTGCCTATAAAGACCTAAGAGTACACACCAAGTGAGCTGGATATGATAGTAAGAAAATCAAGCTATGACTCTTAATATAAACCACTCCTTATCATGTATCTTTGGGTAATGCCATTAAGAAAACACATTTTCTGTTACCATTCCTTGTCTGATTTACCCAAAAACCAACCAACCACTCAACCAACAACTGATCATATGCTTTTTCTTAAAGCTGGACCTTTGACTATTAAGTATTTAAAGGACACAATAGCAGAATGTAAGCGGAAACAAAATATTTTTTATTTGTAGCTTTTCTTTCAAGCAAAAGCTTTTCCTGGGTGGTGTTTACAAGGTAATGCAGACTATGGCTGAGAATCATGGCTTTTCAGAGACTTGAAGACGGTATGAGACAGCTCTTGCTTTTTGCGCTACACTCTCTCTCTTTTTCCTCTTGACCTGCTATGGATTCTCGTTAAACAGGGTTTTGTACTCCAGGAAATTGTAACATGCTGCCTTCAAGTCACAAAAAAATTATCAGCGAGGAACAATAGCCAAGACCTCCTGATGGTCCTGTGCAACACTTGTACAGCTTCTGAATACAGATTGCATTCTTATAGGTTTTGTAGCCACACTTACTGAAGTTTAAAAGTTGCTTTTAGGATGCTAAATTGGTTGTCAAATACCAGATTTTGCATTTTACAGTGAATGCATGCAGTATACTTATTCCTATGTATTATTTATTCAATTTATTTATTTAGTGCTATGTCATTTAAAAAAATCAAATCAGTTTACAGCAATAAAACTTAAAAACCATGCAATAAAAACCATAAAAAGTTAAAAACTAAAAGCATACATCAGTTAACCATTGTGGAAGGATGTATTCTTAATCGCCCACATAGGCCTTGTGGAATAGTTTCAGGAGGCATTTAAAAGTTGGCGCAGAAGCTGCCTGCTGAATCTCTGTTGGCAGAGTATTCCACAGGACTGGGCTGATGGCACCAAAGGTTCAATTTCTTGTGCTTGTCAAATGAGTTCTTGCCTGGATGCAAGAAGAGAGGGAGCCTGCTGGATCACATGATGGAGGCCTTTCCTCTTTGGTGTTATCACTAAAAAAGCTATCATCCTTGTATCTACCCATCCCATCTCAATGATGGTACAGAGAGCGGGACCTCAGGTTGATTTCAGGACTTGGACAGCTTCCTGTAGGATAAGGCAGTTCTTGATTTGCCTTGGTCCTTTTACAGTAGCACATTAGGCCAGGCCTGGAAATAAGTAGTAAAGATGCCACATTGTAGTAGTAGTTATTGTAGAGTTAATGCATTCATTGCTTTCGACAAAAGTACCTCAAAGTGACCTATAAGAATAAAAAATCCATACCAATACAACATTTAAAACAGCACAATACATTAAAAGTGGCCATCTACTAATTATAATTAATCAGATTACTCCATCCCATACACAACATAAGCACGATCACCAAGAAATACATAGCTAAAATTTCCACAGGAACCACAGTGATATTAATGCTCAAATACGTAGGAAGAGAGGATTTCACCTGGCAGCAGAAGGTTGTTAATGCCAGTGCCAGCTGAGCTTCCCTGCAAAGAACATTCTACAGATGGGGAGCTGCCACTGAAAAGAACTCCACCCCTTAGACTTTTGCTAGAGGGGCACACAGAGAAGTGCCTTTGTTCTTAGATCAAGGAGTATGAGCCTACCCAGACCTTCTCATGGCACTGGAGAAGGAGGAAATGGTACTAATCAACTTCTCTTTCTCTTGAAGGTTGCGCAGGTACAAAGTACTAGGAAGTAGCAGCTCTGATTCAGACCTGATCTCTCGCCTGGCTCAAATTCTTCAGAATGGATCTCAGAAACCACGAAGCTCTTCTCAGTGTAAGAGTCCAGGGTCTCCACATAGCCCCAAAACACCACCCAAAAGCCCCGTCGTCCCCAGACGCAGTCCCAGTGCCTCCCCTAGGAGCTCTTCTTTGCCTCGTACTACCAGCTCCTCACCATCCCGGGGTGGGCGTCCTCACCATGAGCAGAGGAGCTCATCCCCACATCTTGGAAGGAGTAAATCGCCTCCCAGTCTTTCAGGCTCTTCATCTTCCAGGAGATCCTGCCAACAAGAGCACTGCTACAACAAGTCTAACAAGAATGGGTTGAAAGGATCTAGTGGCTCCTGCCACCACTCCTCTAACGTTAAGTCTCCCACAGGGAAGAGCAAATCAGCCAGTAAACTTAGCAGATAGGAACTGAGTCTGTGTCTGGTGTCAAAGCCCCTTAATCCGATGCATGTTGTGTTTGTGTACTGTGTATTTAAACAAAAGTCTTCAAAAATCAGTGTTCATCCTGACTTTCAAAGGAAACAAAAATTAAGATGAAATATTTATAAGGTCCACTTTGTATATGAGTGGCCAGGCATTTCCTAAGAACATGCAGCAAGCAGATCAGGGAGGCTAGAGGGCAGGGATGGAGCATCTGGAAAGTCCAAGATGTGTGAAACAGAACAGTGTCTTGGAGGTGAGTGTTTTTAATAAGATTTTAGTTTACTTTTGATTTCATATAAAAGCATGACCTGTTTTAGGCTCTTTCAGTTATCAAACCTGAAACCTGAAATTAATTTCACCTTGGCACTATTACATCTGAGGTACTACTCAGCTGTGTGTGTCTGTAGAGTTTTTAAAAAGCACATTATTTGAAACAGCAATATTCCTGTAAGTTTCTATCAGTGTTGGGCTTCACACATCTGTTTTCAAGTTGCTCACTGCCCATGTTCCTCCTTTTAAAGCAAAAACAGAAAAACTCAGCATCTTGTACCGCTGTATATTTAATGTGGGTTACATTCTTATATGCAGTAAATGTGTACAAATCCACTGAAACCAATGTAATTTAACATTTATGTAAATTTACCTATATTTTCAGATTGGTAACATTCTATTAACTGCTGTTCAGATCCTGATTCTTGGACAACTTGATCATTTATCTGTGTGTGAATTTCTGGAGTTATGGCAGGTTTACATCATATCATATATGAAGGATCTGGAGATGATGCTCACAGTCTGAGTTAAGAAGGAAAACCAGAAGAGTTTGGACCCTGGAGCATTCCTATAATTAAAACATTTGTTTGTGCAATAGTCTCTCAGGGTACAAAGGAGAGCCACTGTTAAAGCTGATGAGAATTTACCCATTGGGGTGAGATGTTTAGTCCATTTACCTACCTTATTTACAGTGTTCCTCTCAGTGTAACTGTACTGAGGAAGAGCAAAAATGTTTACACACTTAGACTTCTTACTTGAGAATGTAATCTAAATCTGGAAGATAAATGAAGCTTTCACCACCTACTAAAAGGACACTGCAGAGCCTTCATACGTAGTAGGTTAGAAAGAAGCAGCAATTCCTTTGTTTTCTTAAGAATCTGAAAAATAATACTTGATAGTAAAACCTAAAACACTATTTCTCACATGTCAACATCCCTAAACCTATATTGTATGTCAAGAGCACGTCTGTCCAATTTGCAGATGTTGCTACCAAAATCTGAACCAGGTAATCATACATGTTTATTGGGGGTTTGGGTGGAAGCCCACACCTCTGTAGTAGCTTCCTGCAATACAAATATACATAGTTCCTTACTCATATTCTTGTGTTTAGGGACATTATAATTTGGAAAACAACATACTGAAAACTCATGTTTAAGGATTGTCTTCCATTCCCTCTGAATAAGATCAGTGGCTTTTAGTTTTCCCAAACTTTATATGGGTATCATTTTATGACTATTCGAGGAATGACTTGTTTTGCTAGATTTAGAAATCAATGGTGGATCACATAGGGATGTTTTAAAAGGGATACAACTAGCTCTCCAAAAAGGTTCCTGTTGTAGGGGATACTGGATGTGTGGGTAAATTTGGAAATTACTGATCTGCTTGCTATAGTCATATGCCTGTAGCCAGCATAAATTATTTTTAATTTAACTTTGTTTTATTTAACTTCGTTTGCTGCCAAAATAGTATCTTTGGGTGGAAAAGGGAATATTTTCTCTCTGAGCTAACACATTTCTAATGCTGCATTGAAGCTGCACTGAATTTCTCTGGTTCTGTCAGAATGTGTTGGAATTTTTTTACTCTTAAATGTGTATATTGTTTCCCATAAGTAATGTAGCACAGTGTGAAACCTTAGCCTCAGTCAGGTTTCAAACACTACAGAGGAATGCAGTAGGGAGAGCATACCTGCTGTTTCTTGAGAAACTATATGATTTATAAGACCTATTATGTTGTATTATATTGTATGATAGGTGCTATACCAATAATTGCATGTTCTCATGGTAAATTATATATTATAAATATTTATAAATATAAATATATATATATATATATACATATGCTTCTATATCCCTAACTCTCTCATTTGCATTTGTAACATTATGGACCACAGACAATGCAGTACTCCTTCAGTTGCGTGCCTGAATTAAATACCCTTGGCCTTGCTGCTCCCATTTCCTGGCATGCACAAAGCTGAATATTCTTCATGCCTCAGTTCAGGACTGAAGGGTTGGTGGTTGCTCAGCAACTCAGTGTTCAATATCAGCTTTGTCGCTTCACTTTTAAATTTCAGAATGAAATGGAATGAATCAGGGGAGCTATGTATCCGATGACCAAGTGAGATGTGTATTCATGATTTTGACTTTTCATCTTTCCCCCACATCTTTCCATCAGCAGGCTTTCATGTTGAAATTGTTCCTTGTGACACTGGGCAGCGAGTGATGATAATAGATCAATATGATACAAGCAAAGAAAATTAATTTTCTCTTTGCCCTTGCCTTGTCAGCTCTTTTCTCTTGCTCTCTCCCATGTCTATGAAAAGCTGCTGGGACTCTCAACGCTTCCCTGAGGCTGCAATCCAAGTGTCTGTGTTCTGGTCTTCACATGTTACCAAATTTTATAGAGTTACTTTCAGCTAACAAATTATCCTCATAGAGTGTAGTTGAAACATTCTACATCACTCTTCCCCAACCTGGTGTCCATCAGATTTCTGGACTATGGCTCCCTTCATCCATGATGGCGAGTTATGCTGCCTGGGACTGTTGGAAATTGACCCAAACTTCTGGAGGACACCAGTTTGGGAAAACTGGGTTACATGACATGCCCCCTTTTGAGATGGTACATAAGTGCTTCCAGGGAATAATTTATCGTGAAGGTAAATAATTCTTGTTGATACAGAGGTACATCACTTTGTGATAACTGCCTTGAAACAACAAAGTTATGAATTCTTCATGCTCATTCTTACATTTTTGTGAGGCATGTAATGTCATATAACCATTTGATTTCTAAAGTTCAGCTTAAAAAGGCATTCCTTTATTTATGACTTGTTTAAACTGCTTGCAATATTCAGTTTTTATATTTTGTGCTAAATCCACGGTCATGATGCTTCTAGAAGAGCCCTGGAGGAAAACCTTTATAAACATGCCCAGAGCATCAGTATTAGAAAAACAGTTCCCCTTGCATGTAGGGAGAGGCATATCCCAAAGATGTATTTTCATGCTTTGCTGTCAGGGACAAAATAATTCCTATCCTATGCATTGACTTAAAAAGAATGTTGTCAAAATGCTGTTATACATTCCTCTTACTTACGGCATATGTATGCTAATGTTCAAACTATTTTGTGTTGAAATGCATTTGTATTTCTTTCCATGTTGTACAAATGCAGTCGAGATATAGGTCAGACTAGAAGGTAATTGTGGAAAGCACAGGAGAGGTTGCCTATGTGTTTTTTTAGTGCAGTGACTGAAAAAACTATTTTCTGGAGTTGTCACTTTGCCAAACATCTGATCCAATAGTGATTAGAAATCCTTTAGTTTACTAATGAAGCTTTAAATTAGCACGTTGGCTTACTATTAACCAACTCATTTTCTTTGTCTTAATCCGTGGTTTAGTTTCTCCATGTCATGTCTTACACAGAGATCTGCATAACCGTTACCACTTCTGGAAGTGAACCAAATAGATATTGTGAATGAATTTTGATTACAACAACTCTAGCCACACAGTAATGAAGTGATTGCTGTCATGGGGTTAATTTGAATTGCTTAATCTAGTTTGTGTTGGATAATAAATTTCAAATTTGAATATGTAAATCAAGGGCAGCAAAGAATTAATAAGCATGGCTGGGATTGAATCAGAACAAATAAAACTAGTTTCCTCATTGGCTTGAGCCAGAGTAAGGAATAGTTGCACAATTTTCTGAATAGGCTGCAGACATTTACCCACAAACAGCATCATTTTGCCAGTGAAACTCCATTGGTTGTATCCAGCAGTGTCAATCAGCTGATGATAAGGAGGGTTTCCCAACTCTCTGGAGCAGGTTTAGGAAGGGCAAAGGGACTGCAGCAGCAGATTGGGGGAATCACCACAAATTGCTTCCTTTCCTGTTCTGATGACAAAAGCCTTACTGTCAGCTGAGCAGCACTGCTCAACTTAAGTTGAGAATACTACCCCAAAGCCGTGACAGGTATAATAGATACAGTACCTACTCTACAGATTCTCTAAACTTTTGCCACTTTGTGCTGAATACACTTTATTTCACTGCTTCCGGGAACATCACAGCATCTTTTGCACAGTTTTTAGTATTATCATTTTTAGGCTGCTATATTATGGTATGTAGATCACACTTCTAAATGGTATTGATGGGAAACATCTCAGAATTAGAGGTTTATTGCTGGCAAACTCCATTTTTACCTTGTTCAACAAACTCTTCTATAATAGTTGGAGGGACACTTGTCACATCCCTGACACATGTTGTGGCTACAATATAGCCTTGCTAGATGGGAAGGGAATGCAGTTTGAAACTTATGCGTAGCACCTTTGTAGGGTAACAATAAGCATAGCATTCCTGTGATATTCATGTACTGCCTGTGGTAAGGGTCATTTAGAGGTTTTAACACCTGCCTTTGAGATTATCTGTCCCTAATGCTGTTCTTTAATAGTAACAAGAAAATAGAGTTGTCTTTTTGATTCAGGTTTCCTTTTATTTTAATTCTACAGTACAACACGTGTATTTGTGGGAAATGTTTTGGATATAATGTTTTTGCTGAACATCATCTCCATCAAGTCTAATGAAAAGAAATTACCAATATTCAAAACCCTGCTCTAATTTTACCTATGGCTGCTTATTTTTATAATTTACAAATTTAATGTTCTCTGATGCCACCAGATGCAATTCCTCCCTGAGGTAAACATAAGTAATGCATTGATTTGTCTACAGTAGAAAATCTATGAAATGCTTTTGTATCACCTCCCGTTTGCAGAAAACAAAGGACAATAATTCTAATAACATAAGGAAGACAATGAATATTTGCCAATAATGTACTTAAATATGAAAGCGTAACTGTGCCTGCATTTTAAAATCTATTCCTTCAATTTATCTAAAATATTATTTGCACGTTTTCTTTTATTTCCTCAAAACAAACCAATTAAAAATGGTAAAAATGTAATAGGCCAACTGGTTTATTGGCATAGCCGAGAGAAAACATAACCTTGCTGCTTTTATAGGCTCAATGCTGCAAGATACAGGACAGTGTTATTTTCCCAGTTAATGCTAATAGGAAATTAAGATAGTGCGTATCTTGTTGCATTGAGCCCCCAAATTATATGCTGTGATTCCCAAATCACTATGCTGCTATACTGTCTCCTGTAGTCTTGGTCTTCCTGCATTTTGAGTTAAGGACAGCCCAACCCGCCAGGATAGCGGGCACAGATCTCCTTTGCCCAGCCTTGCACCGAGGAAGGATCCTCTGACGGCTTCCTTTTGTCCTAAGATCAGGTTTGTTATTGTAGTGACTCCTCATAAGTAACATTTATTTAAGAGGGGAAAGTGGTCAGAGAACCCACTACAATGCTTGCTCCTCTCTGTATTAGTATAAAACATACTTGGTTGCATAGAGGAAATCTCTGCAGAGCACTGACTCCTCCTATGCACCTGAAGATTCTGGGAGCTCTGACAACACATGGGGGGCTCACTGAATGAATGAAGACCCCCATCCCACAGTATGTTGACCCTGCTGCCTTTGAGGATTGGGCTGTAATGGCTGTAATAGCTGACTTACCCAACTGACCCCCTTAACTGTTTGAGGATTGCCCAGAGCATTCTGACATTTTAGGGTAGTGCCTAACCCCTTCCTTTGTCTCAAAACAAAAAGCAGGGAAATAAGAAAGGCAACTTTTTTGCTTTTGTTCTTGTGTAGTCTGCTTTTCCACCAACTAAATCTGTTGTTAGTAAAACAGGTTAGTGGAATGAGTGGGCACAGGCCTTAAACCAGATATGTAGTATGCTTATTGTTGTGCATGTCTTTTAGTGATAAATTGATGGATACCTGTACTTATGAACAAGGATTTGTATATAACATAGCTTTCTCCAAATTTTGGCCTTCCATTTCAGAGGAACTTTTTTTCTCCTCACAACCCTACAAGAATAGTTTTCTGAAAACAAACTAATTGTGTAAGATGGAATATTAACAATTCTAGTCATAGGATCTTAGGCGAGTGTGTTGCCTATATCATCTACATTTATGTAATTATTATCACAGCAGGCTGTGTGCGTATATGTATATATATATATATATATATAGAAGCGTATTGTATGTTGGTCTTGTTTTTTAACTTGGTGGTAGCTCCATAATTTTATTACTTTTAAATGGCTTTGGTCTCTAGTAACAGTGTCTAATAACAGTTAATAATGGCCAAAAACCCCTAGTGCTAGAAAATCTTTAAATTGAACTTCTGCAGCTTTAGACTAGCAACTTGCTTTTATGAGCTCAACTCAGCTTGCTTGTAGGTAACTTAAAGGAATACAACTTATTTCCTTCTGCAATAAGTGGTCACAAGGACATCACACAGAGAGGGACTTCTGAGCAGTGGTGCACTCCATTATATCTAAAACTTTCATATAGTTCTGTAGGCTTAGGAATTTGGGTTAAAGTTCAGAGTTCATCTGTCATTCGTACTAGAGAGAGCAGTGCAACATCTAAGTAGGCTTTACCTTGAGTGTTCATTCAACGAAAGAGATTTTCTGACATCTGAGTGTATGTAGATTTAGAAATTTAATTCCTTGGGTCTTTTACAAAATCTTTGCTTTGGTAAGCGTTGACTTTTGCTGTTCTGCATTTGGATCTTGCTATCTCAGTTTTCTGCCAGACATACTATGTTGTACTTTTGTCCATTTTTATGCAGGCATAATTCCCCATGGCATTAGCCAAATTATTGCCTTTAAAGGAACTAAAAGAATGAGCCGCAGAGGATAATTGTGTTTGCCATGATTTCCCCCGTTAGATATACAAAATATACATTTTGTGCAAAAGTGTATAGATTGTGGATTGCACCAGGAAATGTTTCAGCTGCTC